ATATATATACATTTATTCAATCTTTTATATATATATATATATATAATATGTATAAAAAATATACAAATATTATATAATATAGAAAGTTCTAAAAAAACTAAAAAATTATTTAATATTAAATAATTTAGGATATAATATTTTTATAAATGATATAATCAAAATTAAAATACTATTAGTTTCAAATATAATAATTTATCATTTTTAAAAATTTATTACCTCACAAAATTAGAAAATTGAAATTTTAATTTATATTAAATCAAAATATATAACTTTGTTATCTATTTTTTGTCTTTTTATTTTCAAGAAATATATTAATTTTTTTGTATTTTAATTATTTTAATTTGTTTATTATTTTGTATTTTATTTTTAAAAATTTCAAGCATGAAGCTCGGTCCAAACCCGAAAAAAGCCCATAGAGCCAGGTTTCGGGCCAAAGATTTTAGGCCCATTGCTTTTTCGGGTCGGGCCGATCCGACCCGTAAATATTCGGGTTTGTGTCGGGCTCGGGCCGGACCGGGCCTGTAATACCCCGATTCCTGAGTAAAATTATTTAATTAATTTCTGGAATAAAATAGGGTAAAACAACCCTAAAATATAAGATGATTGGCATAAATATCGAATCAGAGGACAAGTGGGGCTAAAACGCGTGGAAACCGTCGAAAAACGAAGGAAAAATGGGTCTAGACCGATCGGTCCAGGGGTAGACCGATCGGTCCATGGAAAAAGCGAAGAAAAGGCGAAAAACCGAGCCTAGACCGAGTGGTCTAGAGTGCAGACCGATCGGTCTGCACGTTCACGGGCCAGACCGGACGGTCCGACAACTAGATGCAGTGGACGACACCCTATGGCCCTTCTACCCTCTCCCTAGCTCCTATGGCGGCGTTAGAGGTCGATTTAACCGGCTCCAACAGGTGAAGATCACCATTCTGCAACCCAGTACCTGTTCTTCGAAGGCATAGAAAAATAGAGAGATTCAAGGGGATTTGAGGCGAAACAAGTTCGGGAAATCGAAGAGGGACATCCCTAGGAGGTTCCTGGAAAGTTTCACGACCAAAGACGACCCGAAGAACGTACACGAGCTCGGAAAAAAACGCACATCACTTGAATCCGAGGTGAGTGGTTTTGAGTTGTGTTTGTGAGATTCAATTCTCATGATTTATGGTGTAGATTAGTGTTTCTGCAAGAGTTAAGGACCTAGATAAGTTAAATAATGAGTGGGCAACAATCAGAATCAAAATCGGATCAAAATTTGGGCAAAAATGGCGAAAATCGGGCTGGAACTCGCGAAGAAGACGAAGTTCAGGACCCAAACCGATCGGTCTAGGTCTAGACCGAACGGTTTGGGCCAACGGCATAAGAACGGTCTGAGATACACAAAGACTGATCGGTCTAACATGTAGACCGATCGGTCTAGGTCAAAAATTTGAGAAAATGGACAACACTAGCGATCGGTCCGATTCCAACGTAGACCGATCGGTCTACATACATAGACCGATCGGTCTAGACTATTTTTCTTAAGGAATCAGACAGGTTCATAAAAATTGGGAGAAAACCAAAAAAATGTAGACCGATTGGTCTACATAAAGACCGATCGGTCTTGCACCTAAAACTTAAACGAGATGATCAGAACTTGTAGACTGGACGATCTACTCGTAGACCGACCGGTCCAAGCCAAAATAAAAAGGGAAAAATCTCAAAATCGCTGGACCGTTCAAATGGATTAAACTAGAATACGGAGTTAAGTTGTAATTAAAACGAAAATGATAAACAAGTATAGAACGAATACGGAAAGAGATAAATGCATAAAAATGGAAAGAAGTAAACTGCAAATCAAAGCGAATGCTAAGGATAAATCTAAGAGGAAAAATTTGGAAGTGATGATATAGAAGTAGTGGATAAATAATTGGGTCGTGATGCATGTGATTGAACGGTTGGGAATCCCGTACTTAGTACCGGTGGACGGCGTGAGTCAGTACTAGTACGAGGTGTGTGGATATGAAACGAGTGCCGGTTGACGACTTGGAGTCAGCACTGGGTGTGAATGGTTTCTGTAGTAGTACCGGTTGACGAACTAGGAGTTAGTACTACTACTGAAATAAAACACCAGTACCGGTTGACGATGTGGAGTCAGTACTGGTGTTGTTGGGTGGACGTTCCCATAACGGTACCAGTCGACGACGAGGAGTCAGTACCGTTATAGGAATGTTAGTGAAGCCGGTACCGGTAGACGACGTGGAGTCAGTACTGGTGGATCTGTGTGGTCGTCTCTATAATAGTACCGGTTGACGAAGTGGAGTCAGTACTATTATAGAGAAGCAGGGTGGAATCTAGTAGCGGTGGACGAATAGAGTCACTAGATGATGCCGATAGGAATTGGTATCTGATGGTGCCGGTTGACGACTTGAGTTAGTACCATCAGATATCGGAAATGTGTGGAAAATGATAATAAATTTAAAAAGACTATTGAGAAAACGTTAATTGGATAAAATAAGGAATTCTTGTGTTGAGAGATTAGTTGGCACCGTTCTTCATGAGAATGGGCTCTCCGGGCTCAACCCGAGCCATTCACTAAGCATTATGCTTAGCCCTCTGTTGTTGAATTTTTCAGATCCCGATGAGCACGAGTAGCGCACTTGCGACGACGACGACTTGGGAAAAGTGACATCATGTACGGACATTTGATCTTTCGTGTGTTTTGGACTGTGGAACATGGTTCCATGTGAAGACGGTTGTGTTTAAATTACGTTTTTGGACATGTGTTGTTTTAAGAGACGTGTGATGTGTGTTATTTCCGCTGCGTACTTTCATGTAAAAATGATTTTTAATTTCCCGTACTTTCGGTTTTATTGTATTTTATTGGTTTCGTCCATGTGACATATCCTGTTCACGGGATGCGGGATTCGGGTGTCACAGGGCCGGCCCGGTAATTTTGACACCCTAATGTAACACATTGGATACAAATGAATTATGTTGAGAATTATTTTTTTACACATGAAAATAGATCACCAAAACGATGAAAATGTGTTATTTTAACCTTGTGACTGTTCTGAAATATGTGACCATGTGATCATGTGACATTGTGACCATGTGACCTTGTGATCATGTATAGGGGTGTAAAATGGGCGGGTCGGGCCGGGTTCAATTCGGGCCTAGAATTTTTCGGATCGGGCCAGTTCGCCCATTTATTTTTCGGGTCTAGGATCGATGGTCCGGAGCCCGGCCCTACCGGGCTTCGGGCGGGTTCGGCTTTTTATTAAATAAAAATATTTTTTTTGCGATAATAATTATAATAATAATAATAATAATAATAATAATAATAATAATAATAATAATAATAATAATAATAATAATAAACATTCAACAAAAATATTTTTAAAACCGATAACAACAAAGTCATTTAGTTCACAAATAAAAATAAAATTGAAAAAATTATCCAATTGTTCAATTTTCCAACACCACAACATGCGATTAAAAACTTTTAAACGTGATAAAAAAATAACAACATAATATAAAAAGAAATTCTATGATGTAATTAATTTAAAACCTATAGAAAAAAATCAATATGTTCATATACAAACAAAGGTTTAAAAATATATATATTTGAAAACTTCTACCCTTTCTAAAATGTAAACTTATATATATGATGTAATATGGTTAAGAAATTCAAAACTCCCGTCACTTTAAAAAGTTTAATTGGAACCAAGATATAAAAGTTCATCATTTGGTTCAAATATATATATATATTTAGGCTCACATATTTATAAGTATAGAGAGGTAAAATTTTGGTTTAGAAAAGAAGGTTAGAAAAAACAAAAAAAAATTAACGGGCGTCAAGCCCGGCTAGAGACCCGACCGGCCGGCCCGACCGGCCCGTAGCCCATTTGGCCCGAGGCCCGAAAGCCCGAAGTTTAATGAGCCTACATTTTTTAGGCCCATGTCCTTATAATTTTCGGGCGGGCTCGGGCCGGATTTCGGGCTCCGGGCTTAATTGACATCCCTAATCATGTGATCGGGTTTCGGGCTCCGGGCTTAATTGACATCCCTAATCATGTGACCTTGTGACTGTTGTGACCCATATGATCCGTTGTCCTAATGACCTGTGAACCATATGATCCTGTAACCGTATGACCACGTGATCATGTGACTCGTAATTTATTTCTATAGTGTCATGTATGAGTGTTTTGCACAATGTGACCCGTATGAATGTTGTGCACATTGTGATCATTGTGGCATATATATCCATGCAAATTCGACAAAGATTTGTTACTACAAACGATAGAACTATAGAAAAAACAACAAATGGAAGAAAAGAACTGTAAGAACCATCAATGTGCATGAAAAAACTGGAATTTCGACACAAGCTTACCTATTTTCACTTTTCTCATTGATTTTGCTTGATTTTCTCGTGATTTTGTCCGAATTCTGTGGATTTTGAAGATAAAATAACAAGATGGGGAAGAGACTGAAAATACTGTAGAGAGAGAGAGCTCGTCGACAATGGTGAAAAGAGGAGAGAGAAATTGGTTTTTGTGATGAAAGAGAAAACCTAGAAAAATAGAATTTTTTATTTTTTTTTAATTTATATCTAAAGACTATTTTTGTAAATTGTGGATTAAGAGGGAAAGTTGGAATTTTTTTTCCAATGCAAGGGTAGCACTAGAAGTGTTTGTAGCACATTGAGATTAAAATGGAAGTTGCCCCGTTGTGAGAGAGAGAGAGAGAGAGAGAGAGAGAGAGAGAGAGAGAGAGAGAGAGAGAGAGAGTAGGGTTTTATAATTATAGGAGGAAAATATCTATTTTCCCCAGAAGAGGGCTAATCAGGTACATCTAGGTGTATGGATATTAGTGTGTACAATTGCCACGTGGGCCAGTTTTTTTATTTGTTTTACACTGGCGGCCCAACATTTTTAACATGACCGAAAAACCCATATTTGGGGGTGGGTCTCGACAATCTAGTTCGGTAGTTGGAGAACATCGAATGACTTTCTGTAATTCTTCGCTTGAAAAATCATCGATTTCATCTTTTATTCTCACAATCACAAATTGATTAGCGCCATAAGAAAGAGAGACTCCAGATCTCCAAGTTAAAGATCCACAAAGACGTGATCTTCGATTATTACCACCGTCACAAATTGGTTAGCGCCATGTGATTTGCCAATCTAAACGATTGTTACTGCCTGCCTAAGCTTAAAAGCCACCACCATCTCCACCGTCACAGCCGCCGCCGCCGCCGTCACAGCCGCCACCATCTCCGTCGTCACAGCCGCCACCATCTCCGCCGTTATAGCCACCACCATTTCCACCGTCATAGCCACCACCATAGCCGTCACCACCGAAAGATCGAGGGGCACTGGGTCCGTCATTGGCAGCGTTCACTCGGATGTTACGACCGTTCAGTTCCTAAAAATCCAACATTGAAGAGATAAGATTGAGTTAAGCCCATTATACAAAACCCAAATACATAAACACATGCTTTTTTCAGTATATACTGACCTTGCCATCCATGTCCGATACGGCAGAAGTAGCAGATTCCTCACTGCTGAAGTTGACAAAGCCAAAACCCCTTGACCTACCAGAGTCTCTGTCTACGATAACTCTAGCTGCACAGCGCAGAGATGTTTCGATCAAATACCAAACCACAAAATACGACAAGCATGAAAGCAAATTATCCAGACATGACGCCGGATTAACCGACTTGCAGAACAACCATATATGACACTAGAAATATGTATCAATAGGTGTCTGATGACAATAATGCATAAGACAGGAACTGCAACTGACAATCCCTCGTCACTATTACATATATCATTGCACTACAACTTATCAGACAAAAACAGCACAAGGAATTAGGTGGAAAGATCATTCGAGGAAGAACCAGAAAAATGGGATAATTGAATTACCATCAATCACATCACCGTATTTAGCAAAAACCTCTCTCAAAGACTGGTCGTCAGTTCCCCGCGAGAGACCTAAACCAAACACAGCAACGGGGGATTCAAAACCAATAGGCGGATTCAGACAGAACCAGAAAGCAGAAATAGACAAGAGATTACTACCTCCGACGAAGATTGTCGTAGACATGTAGCGGACAGAACAGAGCAGAGATGAAACAGGAGCCTGTGTGTTCTGGGTAACCGTTTTTCTCAAAAGACCGCTGAGTTTATTACAGAAAGCCATCGTAGATATCTGTGAATCCAATACACACACACGGGCACGTCAACAAAACCATATCCAAGAGAAACCGTTTAAGAACAACCAAAACAAGATTCAGAACCAGATCATCCTCAATCTCAATGTCGTTCACCATGAAAACAAGTTCAAAGTTCACAAACTCTTAAGTCTTAACACGACGATTTAAACAAAAGCAAACAAGAAAATCAAAGAAAAGCATACGAACAACAAAGACAGATACCGATGAACAAACATGAGAGAGCAGACACAAAGATAACAACAAGTAAGGAGGATCGAAGAAGGAGAAGGAGAAGAAAACGTACATCAGGGAGGAGAAATGTAGAAGCTAGGGTCTAGAGAGTGATATATGTAAAGTACCTTTGTATTTGTATGCTACACCTACTTCCACCACTACCCTCTAAACAAAAAATAAAATAAAAAAAGTTGAACATGACAAAAGACAATAAAATCTTTACATATTAATAAAAAGACAAAAAAACCTTTTATTTTTTTAATTTAAAAAATTCAAAATTAAAAAAATAAAGTTACGTAACTTTACTCTTCTTCTCCTCCCCTCTCTCTCATCCTAAAATTTTCTCCTCTCTCTCCTAACTCTCACGATTTCAGTTCTCTTCATCTCTTTTAAAACTTCCAATCTTTTGCGTTTTGTGTCGATTTCTCTCCAAAAAATCTATTTTCTATTTAAATCTCCGATTAGATTCGAGATTCGAAGAAGAAAGAACGACGAGAGAGAAGAACATGACTTTAAAATCATCTCGTTACTCATCTTCGACCGAGAATGAAAACCATATGGAGATTGTAGGGTTAGACAGATATATGGTAAGTTAAACTTCAATTTCTTTCAGATTTGTTGGATTTTGAAATTTGTTGTTGTTGAATTGAAGTGTGATTTTGAGATTTGACCGATAGAAATTTAGGGTTTTGGGTTTTTAAAATTTTTGGGGATTTTGACATAAAATATTGGGTTTGAAACGAAGTAATCAATTGAGATGTGAAATGGTTAAAATCGAGTAAAATAGGTAGGTTTCGATCACATGATCATTTAAGACAGTCATATAGGTCACAATACCATATAGATCGATGTTTGAATGTGTAGATGACATGAAGATTCAAATCATATCGTCACATGACCACAATTATAAGGTCACAGGATCACAATCAAGACTGGATGCATTATGGAGTCTAAAATTTCTGGAAAGAACTTCTACAAGTCGGAATATGGTTCACAAATATTGTACATTTATATGGTTACATGTCCACACAGTCACACGATCACATGGTCACAGAATCATATAGATGACATGATCGTATGATCATAAGGTCATATGACATATGGTCATTTAGGTCACATGGTCCAACATATGAGTATATAAACCATGATTTTGTGGTCAATGGTAAATGGTCACATAGTATGAATCATATGTTCACATGATCACATGGTCTCACGGTCACATAGTCACAAGGTCACACGGTCACACGGTCATACGGTCACATGGTTACACGGTCATACAGTCACATAGTCGCATGATCATATGGTCACAAGGTTCAGTATTGTAATAATGAGTCATTTTCTTTCAGAGAATAAAAAATATACTATAGACAGGAATGAATGAAGAAGCATTTTGTTTTTATCTAAAGGAGTATTAGGGAAGTACAAATCAACCTATTATCTCTTTGGTGCACCATCTAGATATGAATCCGGAAAACATATGTTGAAAAAAGTTTCATGAAGTAGAAATTTATTCCAGAAAATCTATAAAACAAAGAATAAGAAGGGTAAAGTTTGGATAGAAAAAAGAAGAAGTAGAAGATGAGTGAGAAGAAGAAGAAAAAAAATACCACAACAGTAATAACAACAACAACAACAATTACAATAACAACAACAATTATTTGACATTATCATTTTTATGAGTAATTATGTTTGTTTGGATTTTGTTCATAAAAAATATGAACTTTTTAATGTTTTACAAAAAATTCTAGGTTAAAAATGTTGTAGGTGAAACTTTGGGGTTAAAAATTGGAAGGAGAAACACAAGTATGGTATAACATTCATGCAGGTTGTACGCGTCGACATCCATGCAGGTCGTACGCGTCTGCTTGTAATACAAATCGGTATTTTATACATAAAAAAAGTTATTATTAATCAAACGAACCATATTCAGAAGTTCCTGTTGTTTTTTCGTCCGACTCATCGGTATTGTCCTGCTCTTCGTCATTATTGTCTGCAAGTTCTTCAACTATTCCTTCTTCGGCTATTAACTTTCCAACCTCAATCGTGTCTTCAATTTGAAGAAGGCCTTGATCGACATCTTGAAGCGGGATTTGTTCATCATTTTCTTCTTGAATAATAGTTCCCCTGGGGTTGATCTTCACGACGGCTCGCCGATCAATGTCTGACCTTCTTGTAATTTTCTTCGGATAAGAGATGTAACACACTTGATATGCTTGAGAAGCCAATATAAAAGGATCATATTTTCCGTATCGACGTATGTAACATATGTCAAAAACACCGGTTTTGTTGACTCTGATCCCTCGCATGGGTGTAGGATCAAACCAATCACACCTGAACATCATCACTTTGAGTCCAAAATGACCTGCATATTGGAGTTCAAAAATCTGCTGCAGTAGTCCGTAAAAATCGGGTTCATTATCAGATGCACAGCACTCTGACCCTTTCACACAAACACCAAAATTATGTGTCGAACGATGTTGTCCTGTTCATGTGTGTGGAAAACGTAGCCTCTGGTAAAAAATATAGGCCAACATGTAACACGACAAAAGGACCCTTGAACTAGCTCATGCAACCACAATGGATGATCTTCTGGTGACGTTCGAATATGCAAAACAAAAAAAAAAATATGTTGTTTAAATATCAATATATACTTGATCGATCTTAAAAATGGGTATAAATAAGAAATTTGATGCAAAATTCTTACATATTTTTTTAACCATGTTGCAAACCCTTTTTCTTTAATTTTGGTCAACTCCTCGTCATTTACGTCACCATACATGTTGTATACTTGTTCATCAAAAATCATGCACAATATATCGAAAAACTTGTAAACGAATTAATTTAAAAAAAGCATATGCCATAAATAATTAAATGTATAAACGAACCTTTCAAAAGGTAGAACTTCCTCGCAATTCAACAATACAAAAGTATGTACCACATGATAGTATTTTTCAGATAAGTAGGCGTTGAGCACGCCTCAAGGACATCATTTATCGGGTAAAGAGCAGACGCGTACGACCTGCATGGATGTCGACGGCGATCTACGATCAGCTAGTTGAATATTGGGATTCAGAAGAAGGAACGCAGAAGAGTCAAACATTCTCAAGCAATCGACGATCCCGAGCGGAGAACGAACGCGCACCCCGACCCACACTGCAGGACGGAGATCATTTGTTCGAGTCGTCCATAAGATAGTAAGTAAATAAATATTTATTTTAATTTTTTTTTGAATTTTTTTAATTAAATATTTTGGGTGCATACGCAGAAGGAAGGTGAAGAACCTTCTGCGTTGCGATTGCTGCATGAGACTCACCGTCAAGCTGACGGTACTTATATCAGCGATCGCGTTCAGGAAATCGAGGATGCGATTCAGGCAAAGATCACCGATCGTCTCTCCCAGTTAGAGGAGAGTTGTGGATCGACTCAACTTTCGCTAGCAGAAATCAACAGTCTCTATCTGGAGGTAAATTTATATTTTTTTTTATTTTTTTATTAAATTATTTTAATTGACGTATACTTTTGATTTCGTAGGTTGTCCAACCCGATGCCAAAGGACGTATATACGGCGTCGGTGAAATGGCGACTCAGTTGGGTGGTGGTCATCCGGATGCAACATCGATCGGTCACCACGTCTCACTCACTAAGGAGGTCGAGCTGTTGAAGAAAAAGATTCAAGAGTTCGAGGACGATCGCAGGAAGATTGCTAGACTTGAAGAAGCTGAGGCACGGATTGCGCGTTACGAGACGCTTTTCGCCCGGCTATTTTCTCCTCGTGACGACCCACCAACGGCGCAAGAGATGTCGTTCAACCCATTTCTGACTCCTCAGCCCGGAGTCGGACCTTCTACGACACCGACAGACCAAACAACCGAATCAGACAATCCGGATAACTTTTTTGTTTAGGGTTTAATTTGTTTTTAATAAATACTTTTTATTTAATAATTACTTTTAAATTTTAAATAAATATTTTTTATTTTTTATTTTTTAAATTATTTTTTAAAATTTAATTTAATTTAAATAATTATTATTTATTAATATTTTTTAAAAAAAATTTATATATAGATTTGCGACAGAGTGCGACGGATTAATCTGTCGCTACACAGCGACAGAAACGACAACTTCCACGACAACGATATTGCGACCGAATACCTACCGATCATTTTTTCGTTAAGTTGCGACAGATACCTACTCCTATTTCTGTCGCAATATGCGACAGCTCTAGATTCACCGGTTTGTGACAGATTACCGACACATTTACATATGTCGTACACTTGCGACCGACTACCTACAGCTCCATCTGTCGCCAATTTACAACAGAATCACGACCACGCAGATTTTGCGACAATGATTTAGTGACCGATTAATATCTGTCGGCAAATTACAGTTTTTCTTGTAGTGAAACTGTCTGCCAATCGGGTCTCTAACTTCGTGTGACTTCATACCTTCACTTGATATTGCAAAGATCACTCCTGCCAAACAATCATTAGGACAAGCTCCAACTGCAAACATCATTTTCGACCTGCATGTGTTCAAGATACAACAACTTGCCGATCTAAATGTCTACTTATGGTGAAAGAACAATGAAATCAGTAGCCAGGCAAACAGTCATGAAAGGTTACCAGTTTAGTAGTTATCCTCAGCATCCAAAGCTTGCATCTGCCTCACTTCTTCAGCATTTTCAACAGTTTCCTTTGTCTTAATAGCTTTCCTTCAAACCCTTATCCGCATGTATTAAACTTTTTAGAGGGGAATCAATTGGATCGCAAGCTTATGCATTGTGACAAGTTCTAAGAGTAATACCAGATCTTGCATCTCCGTTTTCATCTTTCGCATCATCTGAATGGACGGACCTTGATGGAGAACGTCTTTTCGTGTGCTTGCGACCTTCAGAACCTCTAGGAGACAATCTACTGTCTTGTCCTTTCACGATGTTTTGATCCTTTATCTTTTGAACTGTGTTTTTTTTTCTCTATTGACCTCGAACTGGAACGCTTATTGTGTCTTGATTTCTTTTCATCGGCAATTTTAGGAGAGGACCTACTCTCTCTTCTATGCCCATGGTTTACAAATTGTCTATTAGAGGGGAAAGATTAGATACATTTAGTCCTTTTGCAAATTGCTCCTTGCTACAAATCAGAAATGATCTCGAGTCAGATCAGATGGACCTCACTATGTTTAGGTTAATTATATCATACCTACGTATAATTTTATTATAATTATTATGTCTGTTATGTTTATTTAAAGATTATAAGAATTTCGATTTGTATAATTTTGAATTATTTAGTTATATTAATAAAATATATATCATCTATATAAAATCTCGCGTTTGATCGTAATAAGCCTTATAAATCCTAAAATTATAAATTTGAAAAAAAAGAGTGTAAAAGAAAATATATAATAAAAAAATAAAAAGTTTCTCGCTGATACACTATCTGTATTTTCTCGGGCCTAAAAAACCAAAAGCCCGAATAACATTTTTTTTAATGGAATAGATTGGACCGACCCGGGGTTTGGGGTCCATTTAGTATTTCTAAAATATTAATTGTTATTCTTTAAATAGGAAATAATTTATTTATTTTATAAAAATAAAGAAAGAATGTTTATTGGTTTAGTGAATCTGCCCACGTCCTGTTTTATTTGATTTTAACTAGAAAGAAATAAGATATTTGTATAATATATAAATATACACACACACACATTTACTTGTGACAATGAAGTTTATCTATCGTTTTAGATTGAGAGACTAGAAACATAAATTACGAAAACCAAAGTCAAATTGCAAAAAGTACATTTAAATTATCCACATAAAGCCCTTATGAAATTGACACTTGGCATTATATATGGAGCAGTTGGAATTAAACATTTCACATTTCTTTTCATAAAAAAAAACATTTCACATTTCTTTTGGTGATGAAAACATATCAAATACACAAACAAATTTGAAAAGAAAAAAGGGATAATTTATATATATTAAAAATGGTCGAACTAATAATTAAATTATCCTTAAGACGTTGGCGAGTTGAAAGGGGATGAACATATCTGCTTCGTCCACATCCATAACATAAAAATAACAATAATGTGAAAAAGACCAGGATTATAAACCCTAAAATGTCTTAATCCATGTGACAGACGAGTTAAAACAAATCTTTGTTTTATAATTTTAAATATACTCTCTTTCCGAGCCCGGAGTCGGACCTTCTACGACACCGGCGGACCAAACAACCGGATCAGACAATCCGGAAAACTTTTTTGTTTAGGGTTTAATTTGTTTTTAATAAATTCTTTTTATTTAATAAATACTTTTTAATTTTAAATAAATATTTTTATTTTATATTTTTTAAATTATTTTTTAAAATTTAATTTAATTTAAATAATTATTATTTATTAATATTTTTTAAAAAAAATTTATATATAGATTTGCGACAGAGTGCGACGGATTAATCTGTCGCTACACAGCGACAGAAACGACAACTTCCACGACAACGATATTGCGACCGAATACCTACCGATCATTTTTTCGTTAAGTTGCGACAGATACCTACTCCTATTTCTGTCGCAATATGCGACAGCTCTAGATTCACCGGTTTGTGACAGATTACCGACACATTTACATATGTCGTACATTTGCGACCGACTACCTACAGCTCCATCTGTCGCCAATTTACAACAGAATCACGACCACGCAGATTTTGCGACAATGATTTAGTGACCGATTAATATCTGTCGGCAAATTACAGTTTTTCTTGTAGTGAAACTGTCTGCCAATCGGGTCTCTAACTTCGTGTGACTTCATACCTTCACTTGATATTGCAAAGATCACTCCTGCCAAACAATCATTAGGACAAGCTCCAACTGCAAACATCATTTTCGACCTGCATGTGTTCAAGATACAACAACTTGCCGATCTAAATGTCTACTTATGGTGAAAGAACAATGAAATCAGTAGCCAGGCAAACAGTCATGAAAGGTTACCAGTTTAGTAGTTATCCTCAGCATCCAAAGCTTGCATCTGCCTCACTTCTTCAGCATTTTCAACAGTTTCCTTTGTCTTAATAGCTTTCCTTCAAACCCTTATCCGCATGTATTAAACTTTTTAGAGGGGAATCAATTGGATCGCAAGCTTATGCATTGTGACAAGTTCTAAGAGTAATACCAGATCTTGCATCTCCGTTTTCATCTTTCGCATCATCTGAATGGACGGACCTTGATGGAGAACGTCTTTTCGTGTGCTTGCGACCTTCAGAACCTCTAGGAGACAATCTACTGTCTTGTCCTTTCACGATGTTTTGATCCTTTATCTTTTGAACTGTGTTTTTTTTTCTCTATTGACCTCGAACTGGAACGCTTATTGTGTCTTGATTTCTTTTCATCGGCAATTTTAGGAGAGGACCTACTCTCTCTTCTATGCCCATGGTTTACAAATTGTCTATTAGAGGGGAAAGATTAGATACATTTAGTCCTTTTGCAAATTGCTCCTTGCTACAAATCAGAAATGATCTCGAGTCAGATCAGATGGACCTCACTATGTTTAGGTTAATTATATCATACCTACGTATAATTTTATTATAATTATTATGTCTGTTATGTTTATTTAAAGATTATAAGAATTTCGATTTGTATAATTTTGAATTATTTAGTTATATTAATAAAATATATATCATCTATATAAAATCTCGCGTTTGATCGTAATAAGCCTTATAAATCCTAAAATTATAAATTTGAAAAAAAAGAGTGTAAAAGAAAATATATAATAAAAAAATAAAAAGTTTCTCGCTGATACACTATCTGTATTTTCTCGGGCCTAAAAAACCAAAAGCCCGAATAACATTTTTTTTAATGGAATAGATTGGACCGACCCGGGGTTTGGGGTCCATTTAGTATTTCTAAAATATTAATTGTTATTCTTTAAATAGGAAATAATTTATTTATTTTATAAAAATAAAGAAAGAATGTTTATTGGTTTAGTGAATCTGCCCACGTCCTGTTTTATTTGATTTTAACTAGAAAGAAATAAGATATTTGTATAATATATAAATATACACACACACACATTTACTTGTGACAATGAAGTTTATCTATCGTTTTAGATTGAGAGACTAGAAACATAAATTACGAAAACCAAAGTCAAATTGCAAAAAGTACATTTAAATTATCCACATAAAGCCCTTATGAAATTGACACTTGGCATTATATATGGAGCAGTTGGAATTAAACATTTCACATTTCTTTTCATAAAAAAAAACATTTCACATTTCTTTTGGTGATGAAAACATATCAAATACACAAACAAATTTGAAAAGAAAAAAGGGATAATTTATATATATTAAAAATGGTCGAACTAATAATTAAATTATCCTTAAGACGTTGGCGAGTTGAAAGGGGATGAACATATCTGCTTCGTCCACATCCATAACATAAAAATAACAATAATGTGAAAAAGACCAGGATTATAAACCCTAAAATGTCTTAATCCATGTGACAGACGAGTTAAAACAAATCTTTGTTTTATAATTTTAAATATACTCTCTTTTGTTTTAAAACTTCATTACAAAGCGATGATGGGTCCATTACAATATTTTAGGAATATTAATTTCCTATATATCAATATTAGGAAAAATATACGGATTGAAATAATAATTATAAGTTAACTTATACTCAATAAATTAAAAAAGTAAACGAGGTTTATTTTTCTCTAAAAAATGGTGTGACGTAATAGTTAAATGGTATTCCAATTTTGTGTCACTTAGACATTCTAGAGACGGTCGTATAATTTAATTTCGAATGATGAAATTTTAACTTAATTACAAAAATGTCATCCATATATTTACCGACAAATACTTTTTTAACATTAAGAAACGACCATAAGTAAATTAATTGCATGTGAATAAAAAAAAAAACAAATTGCTTGGATTGGGATGCAAGAGAGCCAACAAGAGAGGAATGGATGAACCACAAATCAACTGACACGTGGCAATAACTTAGTGGAGATGACGTGTCGTTTTCGTGCTACGTAATTTGTTGTCTTAGATTGTCTGTCTTACGTTCGTAGGCTGTCCCACGGCGTTTTTTTTTTGTCACGGCCTCTAATGCACGTAAATTGTAAAATACTAACCCCATTAAAAGTTTAGAATTTTAATTAAAATAATAAGTTGTATCAACTATGTTATTGGGAGGAAAATGAAATTAGAAACAGTAATAATTTATGAGATTCACATAAACAAAATTATAAAGTGGATATTAATTTGGAATGATAATTATAATTAGAAAAATAGGCTTGGTTAGTTGCATCAGGGTGCTCATTTAATAATTAGTGTGATGATAATATTGTTAATGTTTGTCTTTATAATAGCATAAAAAAAAAGAATTGGGAAATTATTCCCATTGCATTCATAGTTTGGAGTAAAATTATTTTTTTTTGGGTAAAGGTAAATATATATTAACTTCAAAATATGTTGTACAGTAACGATTGGTGTGAGAACATCAAAACACCCAATCCCAAGATGCAGTAATCAGACCCATATGAGAGAATACAAAATCTTGAATCAACTACATTCAAAGTGTCGAAACCAAATAGTTAGCAACGAATCGTGTGCGTTCATGTCCATGTTTGAGCCTCTGAACGAAGAAAGCCGCATTCGTGTTGTAGTTAGAATATCCTTAAGGATAATGTCCGCCGGTTTGGACTGAGTGTCGTGAAGCCTAGTGTTTCGTTCCCTCCATATTAGGTATATAGCCGCTTGTAGCAGTAGTTTGACCATGAGCCTAATCGTCGGGTCATTCGAACATCGGTTTGCCCATATGAGAACTTCCTGCAATGATGATGCCAAACAGTCCGAGAGAGGGCATGAAACCAGCAAAGAGGTCCAAATCTCATTTGAAAAATCACAGCCAAAGAAAATATGATGTGTAGTTTCAATTTCCGACCCACAAAGTAAGCAATCAGGGGGTGTATTTAACCCCCACGAGAGCAGTCTGTCCCGCGTTGGTAGCCGTTTTTTGACAGCCAACCATGAGATAAACGCGTGTTTAGGAACCGAACCAGTAAACCAGACGCTCTTGTGCCATGGAGCAATGTCAGTCGAGGAGAAGCAGTGAAGTAAATCCCAAGCCCTGGACGTACTGAATGGCAGCAATGAGGAGTCATATAATAAGTGGATGATCAGTAATAGGTATCTACCGCATTCAAAGATCCAGATAATCCCAGCTGAAGAAGCTGGTTGTGGAGACTGACTTCCGTTTCACTCCGTGCAGGAGGTAGATGCCAGCAATCCGAAAAATAAACAGCACTCACAAGGGATTAGCGAGGGATGCCCAACTGTCGCGGACCGGATTCTCCTAGTTCAGCAATCAGTGGCCCCTGTGGGAGCCAAGAATCCAACCAGAAGTTGCAGGAAGATCCGTTCCCCAATCGACACCTCGAGAATGTCCTAGCCTCTGATCTCAGTTTCAATAACTTCTTCCAAGACCAACTCCCTTTGCTCGTTGTCTTGAGATCCCAGAATGACTTGTCAGCCAACAAATTAGATTTGACCCATGCAACCCACAAAGAACCCCCCTTCGTGAATAGCAACCAAATTAATCGAAGACAGAGGATGCGGTTCCAGACTTCCACCCTCCTTAACCCGAGGCCGCCATACTTTTTTGGAGTACAAACAGATGCCCATGAAACCTTTGCGTCTTTGGCTGTTTCTGGAGCTCCCGTCCAAAGGAATGCAGAGCACATTCGTTCAATAGATTTGATGCACCGCTTCGGTAAAATAAATACCGCTGCCCAGAAGTTAATTATGCTGTAGATCACTGATCGTAGGAGTAAAATTATTTGCTATTTAATATAAAGTATTCACTATTTCATGTGGGTCGAAATGATACTAATTAACTAATAGTGGTTATATTGAAATTTAAATATAAAAAATGGTCCCCTTGAAATAGTCCAACAAATCGTTTTGTGTACTCATTTTACTGCAACGAACAAAATCTATGTATTTATAACTTAATAGATTTTATCCTGACAAATCACATAATATCAAAAAAAAAAAAAATTAATAGATTTTGTATTATCAAAAAAACATTTTAAACGGAGATTACAAAAAAGTATTTCATGTATATATATACACATAACGTCATTGTAAGAAATTCAAAATTTAATATGGACCGGCAAAAAGAAAAAGGTCTCGTATTAGCACGCCTTACGTGTCCGTGAATTTACGTTGGTATAATTTCAAGAACAAAAGCTGAATAACAGCTGTGAGCTTGTATTCTCATCCGCGAGTATATTTTTATTCTGGAGAGTCACATACATACATGCATGCATGCATGCATACAAAGAAAGTATGACATATATGCATTACATTTTTTTAAATTCCGTTTCTATACATGTGCGTGTGTGTGTATATATGTATGTATAATATGTGACATGTAATTAGTAAGGATCATCAAAAGTCTTGCGGCACATATTTTCTTAAAGATATAATGACGTCAAACTTCACCTAAAGGGTTCGAAAAGATATACGTATTGTTATAGGACAAGAACACGCACACTTGTAGTCCTTGTATTATTAATATTGTATTTTGTTTTTGTCCGACGCTTAGGGTCTAGTGGTGGAAGAACATGCAAAGCATGCTCTCATCCTAGGTTCAAACTCAAGCGTGGGGAGAGGCATTCACCTGGGTTTCTTCGGTCTTTTGGAAAATGTAGTCGGATCAAAGACCCGGTGAACTTCCGGATTATAAAAAAAAATATTGTATTTTTTTAATCAATTAGGAGATTCATCTGGACCTTCAACCCAATCTACATCCTCTGGACCCGTGAACGACTTTTGAACACGTAATTTTTATGGCGTCTCTCCCTCCCGCATGGAAGATCGAATCGACAACCTAAATGTTTTTCTCTAGTTTGGCTTATTCCATATCTCGTCCTCAATCAACCCACAAGATTTAGGGAAAAGAAGAAAAAAAAAAGATTCTTAATTATCATAAAGAAATAATAATAAAATCAACATTAGATCTATTATATATATATATATATATATATATATTATAAGGTTTAGTTTCCTCCTGTTTCAGTTTGAACATCCTTTTGAGATTCTGCTCATGCATTCTAAAAAATAAACACATCCCGTTGATCTTTAAATCGTTGCAAAAAAAAAAAAATTGTTGTGAGAGTTTCGAATTGGAAACTAGCAATTTTTTCCAAATAAATATTTTGTTTTCCACGGACCACAAAAATATTAGTTGCAAAATGACAACAACATTATTTCATTGCCCACTCGGTGCAAATTATCAATATATCCCTATTTGGTCCAATCCTTCGTATATATATATATATATATATATATATATATATATAATTAATTAATTGTTTACATTATTTTTAGGTTATAGATGAGAGTTTCACATGAAAAAGCTTATTTTACCCCTTTTAGTTGGGGGAATGCTACCTACTTAGTGCCTTGGCTTTGAATCTAGCAAATGGATGTGACAAGGCAGGGAATTTTCAAATGTTTGAAGGGTACATATAGTGACATTTCTGACAAATTAACACATGATCTAGAGACACTAAACATGTGACATATAGCTTTAATCATATATATACACACACACACACACACACACACAATTTAAGAATTTAGCTTCACATGCTCATATTAGGGTTTCTTCTGAATATTTGTTGCCTCGTATACTCAGATTACCATATGCCTCATTTGAGTTTTTTTTTTCTTCGTGTCTCGAAGGCAATGAATGTTTCCCTAAAGCGTCCCAATGGTCCTCTCAAAGGACACAAAAGTATTATGTGGGGGAAAGATTTTGTTGGGAAACCTTCTAAAGTGACCCTAAACTTACAGAAGTTTGAAAATATGTCCTATTAAAAATTTCGGATAAAATTTTTAAAATTAACCTTATTTCACAATGATATTTTCTCTTTTAGATTTTCTTTAAAATTTTAGAAATTTTATATTTCTGTTTACTATTATGTACTAAAAAACATGTGTAAATTATGTTTTACAAGTTTTAAACTTGAAAAAGGATGAGAAACTGCATAGAAAGAAACATTAAAGATGACTTCGAAATTCAGTGAAAATGACAGAATTTCTTGGGAAAAAAATTCTTGCAGTATGGCTGTTCACATTAACAAAAACGTATAAGAATTAGATTGAAAAAAATAAAATTGTGGGCAAACCCTAAATATAATGGTAGCTAAGGGCGTAGTTAAAAATTGGTTCCATATAAAATTTTCCATGAAAAGACAAACACATTATGTTAAGACAGCCATGACTTCCTCATTAATTAATTTTTAATTAAAATAATTTTAATTAGAGGTCAAAATTAGAAGCTGATCATTGTATTAGATGATAATATTAATAAATGTAGACTCCCTAATTATAAGTGTATGCGGTGATTACCTGTTATGCTGGTTAATTAATGATATCCTTAATTCTTCTTGTTCTCTATATTAATTATTTGTTCTTAATATAAAATTATTTTATGTTATCGGTAGTTGGAGTATTTGATTTATTTTACGGATTTTCTGGAAATTAAGAGGAACTACTTAAACCTGTTTTCCATATTTAGAATTTGTATACAAATACGAGGCAGAAACCAAGCAGTTTGGTCGAGAATTACACATTCTTAATATCTACAACAAAAAAATTCTAATTATAATTTATATACTATATATATTCAATAATTAGTATATATAAGAACGGATCGAAATTTAAATATATGGAAAAATGCTTATCTTCAATAACATAATATATTCGATGATTATAATTAATTTATACAAGATCGTACGCTATATAAATATTTTTAGCATATATGATGTATATTACATGATGGGATGGATGAATATATATGATGTATCTTGAATAATACCTTTTTGTTGTGGTCCAAGCCCGGTCCCTAGGTTGTGTATAGCCTTGCAAATACATAGAATGATTAAATAGATGCCACGTACGAGGATAATATAGAAATACAAGACGCAGTTACAATTAGCTTATTATTCATAGAAAGCTTAATGATGCTTGAGGATTAAGCTTCTTATACAAATTAGAAAAAAAAAACCCTAATAATTAATTGTTGAAGTAGAAAAATGAATATGTGATTGGAGGAAAATCTAGATTTTGGAGGAACACAATATTATGTTAAATATTATGAATCATATTTATTTCCGTTATATCTATATTTCTTTTTATTTCATTTGTTAATTTTCTTATAAATATGTGAGTTATTTTCATTGTAATCAACAAGAAGAAGAAGAGACGTAGCAATAAAAGTAATTCCGTTTTTATCTATTTGTCTTATTTTATTTCCCCATTTTATTTTTCTACATTAATATCATAGTAAAGTAACAAAAAAAGAGAGGAGAATATATACATGTGGATGTTTTAGAGTAAATCACATGCTAGTAATATAAGGGTAAAACACACACACACATATATATATATATATGTATAGGCAATTAAGAAGATGCGTATTAACTTTAGTAAAGAATATTTCGATGATCTCTTGAATGAGTTAAAAGGTAGAGTAACTAGTTTGTATTGAGGGAAAAACCAATACAGATATTTGGATTTTATATAAATTTTTTCTACTATGCATAAATACATCAACCATTTGAAATTTCTAATAAATATGATCAATTTAAGAATATTAATGGTTTTTTATTGAAATAGTAAAACAACATTAAAATTAAGGGTGACTAATTTGATTAATAATCGAATAAACCGAACCAAATCACCGAAAATAACACATAATTATATCCGAACTGAATCCACATAAAAATTGAATAGTTGTACTTTTTTTTTTCTAAAACCAAAAACAAAACTGTATTGAATATAACTGAATAAAAATAACACAATAAATAAAATTTTAAATGAGTATTTTAATGAATAAAATTGTTTTAGAATCGAATCCAAACTGAAATCGAAATGACCGAATTAAGTATAAAAACAAATATTATATATAGTTTTAAAAATCGAAATAAATGAATTCGAATAAAACTCAACCGAATCCGAGTGCAAACCGAAATGACCACTCCTAATTAAAATATTTCCGAATTTCTATCCAATTTTCAAAATATAGATATTTTTATCTGTTGTTTATAATGCTACTATTTTCAAATTATAAATATCATTACCGGCATTTAATATTTTCATTATTTCTGTAGAATTCAATAACAGTTTTAAAGTTTATACATTTATATAAAATTTTAAAATAATTGATATGTTTATATGAAAAAAATATTTAATTATATATATATATATATATATATGTGCTAGTTTTTTAAAATGATGTGAGAATTTTCCTATTATATATTATGGCAATCGTCAGCTAAAATTAAATTTATGAATGAGATCACATAAAATAGTATATGTAACTGTTGAATGAGAGAGGTTGCGTTATAATTAAATTGGAATTGTGTGGAATACTTGCTTTGTTCACCGGACTGCCTTGTAGAATACTTGTTTAGTAGATCTTAATATATATATGCATGTATGGTTAATATATTCAACAACACATACATATACATATACATATACATATACATATACATATACATATACATATACATATACATATAAATGTGTGTGAAGAAGAACTTTGTTTAACACCTAAACGGGTAGGGCTGAGTTGTCATGTTTGGATTGGTTAGAGATAATGAATGGGAAGCACGAACGAATTGCCAGATGGGAAGATTAACGATGAATACTAATAAAGAAATAAAAAGTGTTTGTAGGGCTCTTAATTGTTGTTATGGCAGATCTGAGTCAGACGATAATGTTTTTTTATCGGAAATAAAGTTAGGTTTCCTAAGTTTTATAATAATATCCCCACATGACACACACATACATATCTATATATACATACACACATTCCTGTATATATATATAAGCATTTATTCTACGTTCATTTTCATATATATATTAATTGAAAAAAAAAACATTCATCTGTTTGTTGCATTTTCAGGACAAAAGTCAGAAGAAACGATGAACATGGAAGATCAGTTTCCTAAAATGGAAACTAACAACTTCATGCACGAAGACAACAAGCTCTTGAGTTCATCATCATCGTTGTCAAAGCTTCTTGGAGTTCCAAGAATCTTGGACTGTCTGAAATCTCCTCCTCCTCCTCCGCCGTCTTCCTCACCTTCGTCGTCTCCAACATCTTCTCCTGTGAGCGAGGCTTCAAACAACATGCTTTCTTGCCCTCATCACTTGCAGAAGGCGTCATCTCCAAGCTGCCGTTTCTTCAAATTTTCAGATGAGTTCAACACTTCTGCTCAACCTCATGTAGCTTCTTCTTCTCCTGTTCCTTGGAACTTTCTAGAATCTTTTCCTCATCAAACGCAATCGCAATCGCAATTGCAATCGCGTGTTTCTGATCATCACCCACTTCCCAAACCCCCAAACCTCAACTTGTTTCTACAAGAACCAAAGTTTCCGGATCTCTCTCAAACCGAATATCATAACACCAACAATGGCTATAACGTTTCTTCGTTCTGCAAGTACCATAACTTCACCCCGAACTTGCTCCAATCAGATAAAAACCAATCACAAGCGATCAACGAGTGGATCAAGATCAACAAAACACTAACCAACCATCCTTCCAAAGGGTTTGGAAGTTACTGGTTAAGTGCCACCAAGACTCAGCCCATGAAGCTCACTACTGGATCATCAAGAAAACCTAACAGCAATGTTCAATCTCCGGGAAAGCTGTATAGAGGAGTGAGACAAAGGCATTGGGGCAAATGGGTTGCAGAGATTAGGCTTCCTAGGAACAGAACTCGTGTTTGGCTGGGGACATTCGATACAGCTGAAGAAGCGGCTATGGCTTATGACACGGCTGCTTATATTCTGAGAGGCGAATACGCTCATTTGAACTTTCCAGATCTCAAGAATCAGCTCAAGACAAGCTCTTTGAGAAACATGATTGCCTCGCTCCTGGAATCGAAAATCCAGCAGATCTCATCATCTCATCAAGCAAAATCCGGCGACAGGAATGCTGCCTTCGATCTCGAGAAGGTGACACAGGAGAAGAACGACATGTCGGAATCCGGTTTAAACGCAAGGCCCGTGAAGAATCTGAGCCAAAAACTCGATTTCGGTGAGAGGATAATAGGAGTCGAATCCGGAGAAGTGATGATCAAGGAACAGGACCGTCAGGAGGCGATGTTGTCTGAAACAGAAGGTGTGCAGTTGAGTAGAATGCCTTCCTTGGACATGGACATGATCTGGGAAGCTCTCCTGGTGACGAAACCAACCCCACAATAAAGAAGTTATATATTGTTATGATTTATTGATTACTAATTATTTCCCTTTTTCCCTTTTTACCGAATTCCAAGATTTTGAATCTTGGAAAGAGTTGTTTCCAGGTTTATATATACATACAGATTTGTGTGATCTTTTTTGTTTTGCCAAGATTCATATATAAATAACAGAAGCAATAACATCTGTGTTATTGTTTCTCTCTGTCTTTTTTTTTTCCCTTCTGGTTAGAAGTAATCAGAGGGATCCATTGTTGTTAAAAAAAGGGATAATTCCATTTAAAACCCTGTACTTTTCTCTCGTCGCAATTTAAACCCTATACTTTTTTTTGATCCAAAAAAACATTGTACTTTTAAAAATTGGCAATTAAAACTCTATACTTTTAAAAATTAGCAAATAAAACCCTGAACGAAAAACAATATTATTTAATGCTGACATGGCATCCTAGTCATCTGCCACATCATCAATCCCTAATATTTAATAATATTAATTAATATAAAATAAAAATAAAATAATAAAAATAAAAATAAAATTTTAAAAATTATATATATTCATAAAATTATACACATATATAAACATGTTTATAAAAATTTTAAAATTATATACATATATAAATATATTTATATATACATATATACATATATATACATATGATACATATATATCTATATATGTGTATAATTATTATATGTTTTATATGTATGTGTTATATATGTATTTTTCCCTAAAAAATATTATATATATATATATGTGTTTTTGAAGAAAAAATCATATATCACACATACATATAACATATAATTATACACATATATATATGTATGTATTATATATATATATATGTTTATATATGTATATCATTTAATTTCATTATATATGTATGTGTGATATATGTGTATATGAATGTATATAATTTTTAAATTTTTATTTTATTAATATTATTATTTTTTATTAATTAATATTATTAAATATCAAGGGTAGATGTTGTGGAAGGTGATTAGGATATCATGTCAGGATTAAGTAGTATTTTTTTTTCGTTCAGAGTTTTATTTGCCAATTTTTAAAAGTACAACGTTTTTTTGGATAAAAAAAAATATAAGGTTTAAATTGCGACGAAAGAAAAATACAAGATTTTTATAATTGGGATTTTCCCAAATAAATATAATACCAAGATCATTTCGTTTTTTTTAATCGTGGATAAATATTATAATAGTTTTAACTAAAATATTACTCAAACTCCATTTGTTTATCATGTTTAGAGTTTTGTTGATGAAGTTTTAAAATTTTATATCATCATCATCATCGTCATCCGCGTCCGATAAGAGAAGGCTATTTTTTATAATGTTTTTTTTTCCAATGCCATAGAGGTATCCGCAATATAATTCAAAATTTTAACTAAAATATAAGTTATAAAATAGATTAAAGTTTGAATATTCTCACAATGTTCTTTAGACTTGATAGCTTTTTAACTGATTATAATACATTCTTATAATGTTATTTATTTTTTATATTAGAATAAAAATATTATTTTTATAGAAGCTAATAAAAAAGTACAGGGTTTAAATTGCGACGAGAGAAAAGTACAGGGTTTTAAATGGAATTATCCCTTAAAAAAAACACGTCGAAGGACATATTATGGGCAGACGAGTTCTGTTGTGTCCTGTAATAAGAAAAATACTTTAATTTCCATATCAGGAAAGTGGGTTGTGGAAGAAAACTCCATCAGTCAATCAGGCCTGTCTAGTCGGACCCGAGTCAGCACTCGATAGGAAGGTTTTGGATTCGAACTCGGGCTAGCCTGATATTTTTCGGATCCATGTAACTAAGCCCGAAACCCGATCCTATATATTTCAGGTTCAGGTTGGATCGGATCGGTCCGCATATTTTTTTTTTTGTAAAAAAAATATATATATTATTTTTTTTCGATTTTTAAATTTTTTTTTTAAATACTGGGCTTTCATATGGACCGCCGATTTAAGTCTGACCCAAAAATCCGATTTTTTTCGAGTGAAAAAATTTAGATCCAAAATATTCTAATTTTCGGATTGGGTTGAGCCCATCTTCGGACTTGGATCTAAATTGATACCCTAAGACCAATTACCAAATCATCATCATCCTCTTTGTACTTTCCTTTGGGCCGACCAAAATCATCGAATAACGTGACATTATCTGATATATTAATGTGTTATATAGCCTATAGATTATGATAATTTATATTTATATTTTATTTTTTTCCCAATCTTCTCAAATCAAATTGGTTACCGAATATGGAATGGGAGAAAACTTTGGGGGCAAGAATTTGAAAAATAAAATATTTACCTATGCGAAATGTATGCTATTTTCGGTATTTTGTGTAAGATAAATACACAATTTTCTAAAAATTCGATTTGTTTCACTTTTTGTATTTACTTCGAACTAAATATAGCTTTAGTAGTTATATCTAAAAAATATTATCCAATTAATTTTGAGATAGAGTTGGGTTTAAATTAGTTAGATATTATCCGGTTCAATTTTATATTTTATATGTCAAAATCGAAATATCCATTATATTTATCGAGTCTACATCCACAAGAAACGTGTTTATCCAAAAAAAATCGGGGAACTTAAATGATGATATTAGAGGTTGACTTTATTTTATTGTGGCCAAAGATTTACGAAATCTAACGGATATCATACTTAATGAGTTTTTAAATTAATATAGTATGGCTGAATCCCAATTAATCACATGAAAGTCCACTGATAAATGTCAACCCTAATCTGTTTATTTAATTATTCCTAGTTATACATTTATTTAGTTACAATTCACACCTATTTTATAACAAAAATAAAAAAAAAAACTTAAAAACGTCAAGTATTGAGAATTTAATTGGATGTGAGTAAAGAGAGACAACTAAAGATTTATACATCTATTTAAGTAACTATAGTACATAATTCTTTGTGAGTAATCATCTACGCGAATTATATAATTTTTTTAATTAAGTGTAGTCATTACTTTTTTCATGTAAAGACAAATAAGAACACGTATAATCACCCCTTCATGTCATCTTACGTAGCAATTACTACACATGTTGCTCTTAATCAGTTTTAAAACCGATTTACTATTAGGAATTGTACAAGAAAGTTTACACCTTTTCCCTTCGAATTTTGCGTAATATAACTTAGATTTAAATTAGGAAACAAAATAAACAAAATCAATGTGAACCCACATAAACCCTAGATAAGGCGAAATGATTCCGACCGATAAAAATAAAGAAATAAATCTTCACCGATATATACACGAATGACTAAAGACAGCATTTTGATGACGATGTTGGTTGTTAAAAACAGTTAAATTAAAAAAAAAGGATGATAAAAACAAACAAGTTAATCTCATTTCTACTTTCCCAGAATTCTTCCTAACTTATCCAATGGTGCTACCAGGCATCACCCACTCTGTTCCTCCCTGCCTCATTGTCCCTTCAGCCAGAACGACGCTATCAGCGTTGCCAAACACACCTCCTCGGTGTCTCTTCTTCGCCATTGCAGCAGAAACCGGGCTTCCCGCATTAGTGGAGGAAGCCAGAGAGCTCTCGACTGAACAGTTGTTGTTGTTTGTGGCGGTGGTCTGGTGCTCGATGGCTTCTGCCAGTTCAGACAAGGATGGCATCATCATCTTAGTTGTGTCCGACGAAACTGCTGTTCCTTGAAACCCATTTGAGACCTTGATGGCTAATTCCGAAAGCTCTTCTCTTGCAGCCTCTAGCCCGGCAAATGCAGCCGCTTGCTCGTCTAAAGCCTTGCAAGCCTTCTCGAGAATCGTCTGGAGATACTTCCCTTGTGCCTCTATTCTCAGCTGGAGTCGCCTTTGCACCTGCTCATGCTAAATACGTGTTAAAAAAAATCGTCCCCAAGGCAGTAATCATCTAAGAAATTTACCACCCGGGTTTTTCCGTGACCAATGCAGTTGATGATTCTTCTTTTGGCAGAGACACAGAACAAATGAAATCAGGGTTTGCGCAAGAGTTTTAAGCCAGTATTTGCCCATTGAAGAAGATACGATATCGATAGAACATTAACAATTATGTATCTTATGTACTATGCTGTGACATCAACCCGAATCACGTGTGTATCTCAAATCTCAGGCTTTGAAAGCTTATGCTGTTATCCATGAGATATTGTTAACATTAGGTTCTGCAAATTTAAGGCCAAATGTTTCCTAAAAAGGATGTCCCATGGAAATTACTATGTATCCAATGCGTGTGCATATACCCACACCATGAAAATCAGCCAGTAAGCGGAAGAAAACTTAACCTCTAATTGCTCATGTAGTCTTCTCTGGACTTCCATCTGTGCACGCAAAGCTTCAGTGACCTGGTAACCCCTATCTCACCGGGAAACAAAAATGAAACGTCTGGTCATACAATGGATATTCAGGAGAGGCAGGAAAATGAGGAGAAATAGGAGACTAAAAAGCTAACAGTATTCATACTCGTTCTGTTCCTGCACCGCCATTCTCAATGATGATGTTGAAGACGAGCCCGTGTCCTGACTCTCCCCAACACAAGAAGCTGTGGCATCAGCAACTCAAGCAATTAGAGTAAGGCATCAGGCATGAGAAACAATCTTCAATTCGAATCCAAGAAAATAGGGTTCAGTTTATGTTTTTACAGATAAGATCTTTTAATTGCAGGAGAAACCAAGTATATATATAGCCTTGGACAGTTTCTTTATACTTCTGCAGATAACATCGAAGATAAACAAAAGGGTGCCATGCCCCAACCCCAGAAAACAGGTGTATGAGGTGCATATGAGAGAATTGAAAGGATACCAAAGAAACTGGACAAATATAAAGGTTTGATAAAATGAGACTAGAATGAATACCATCCTTAGAATTCTCATTTGATTCCTTGCATACTTGCCTCCCTAGGCGGTATTTCTGTTGAGCAAAAAACAGTCAGAATTAGGGGAAGAACACGATCGAAACATTAACTTGCAGGAAGTTCTGGATCAAGGACAAAAGACTGAAAGCCTAAATATTAGGCAGATACTTGCTAGATTGCTTAATTGAGACAAATAATACCATACATAGTCGACTTGTTCAGCCTTTACATATCTCAGAATCTTACATTTAAAATGTGTAAAGTAGTCAGAGTTTTAGGTTTCCACTCATGTAGCAAATGCTTAAACACATTGTTATACAAAAGCCAATATCCCCAAGATTTTGTCTGTTTGAAGCAAATCAATGACAAGTAAAGGAGTGACTCATGCATTTTCAGGGGCGGCAACAAACCTGAAGATGTGATTTCAGGTGGTAGAGTGTAAGGCCCTTCACCCCCATCGTTCTCATAATAGTTTTGGGTGTTGCTTCTGTAAGATGGTTAGACAAGGGGTCAGAAAGGCATTCATTAACCATAGTCCAAATCCGGGGAAAAGACAACAGGTTCTTGACCACAAGCGGGTGGAGAGGATCCTGTACCGGTTTAATCAAATTTCAGGTGAAAAACATACAATACAACAAAAAGTGTTTGGATATAAAAGAATACAACGGTATTGCAGTCGCTGAAGAAAAAGCAAAAACAAAAGATTAGGCAGTAGCCATTAAGGGTTGGACTTGAACCAGGCTTGTTGCAATACAATTGTTTAGTGAATAAAAAATTCTTGGCCTAAATGTCCTTCAAATTACCTCTGCGACTAGCAAAGACTCACAAAACATGAATTAAACATCAAGAAACCAAACACTTTTTCCCGACCTTTCTAATTTTGTGGAAATTTTTGTGTCGTAACTGTTTACTACACTTCTCTTCACCTTCTTGAACTTCAAAACGTATGGCTAGGGTTCTTGTCACAGTGCCCCACAAGTTTTTGCTATTTACCAAACTAAATCCACAAAAAAAACCCAGCTTTTCTGACAGGATTCTGACATCTTGAGATTTTGTTTTGTTAACTATGCAATGATTCCGGAAAAGAAGTCACTCTGTAGTAGGAAACAAAATGTGGGACTTGAAATCTCCAAAGAAATTGATCCAAATCTAAGAATAGCAAATCTCCGGCGACCAAGTTCGATTGATCCTAGAGACGACTTCCACACATGTGAGCCTAAGCTTCATCGAATCAAGCAGCTATTACTAAACATTCAAATGGCCGAATTTGTAGGACAAATTCATCGCAGGAAACGAAGATTGACTCGACCCATCCAATCCAATACATGAACAACCGCAAATCAAGGAAGAAATCACTGCAACCCCTAGAGAAGAGCTACAGCGAAGAAACCATGAACCCAGCAGTCAAACCGCAAGAGACCCACCAAATAATCATCCCACACTGAACCTGCATTTCTCCCCCAAGATCCAGAAATTCCAAACACACACACGCACGCATACAGCACGCATATATATACACACTACTCACTGTCGGGTCCACCGAGCTGGGTGACGGCGTCGACGAACCGCTCATGGAGCTCCGCTGTCCAACGGAGGCGGGGCTTCGGGTCCGTCGTCAAGACCAAGCACGCGTCGCCGGGAAGGTTAGTTCCATCGAGAGCTCCATGGTTCGCCCCATGCCTACCAACACTTCCATCGAGCGGAAGCGAGCGAATCGCTGAGTACATTGGCTCGTTTTTTTTCTGCCTTCTCTCTCTTTCTCTTTTTCTATTTCCCCGGGAAAATGAAGGAAAATGTGGGGGAGATTTAAGAGAGCGATATGCAGATTTCTGGGAAAATGGGTCCGGGTCGGGTCGGGTCGGGTCGGGTCGGGTCATGGGACAGCGAAGAGACGAGTGGATAGATTGGACGTACGTCCCGACATGCGTGAACAATACATAGAAGGAACATGTATCGCAAATAAATAAATAAATAATAGTATAATTTAATAAAGTAATAACTAGACTAATTAAATAATCACGTTCAATTATATCCGTTTAATCACACTATTATATTTATCTACATGAGTGCGAAATTGAATATATTATTTAACTATTTCGGTTTTACTTCACTGATTAAGGTTTCGATATATACTCAAGTAAAACGGTTCGTTTAAGGTCAGGGGCGAAATCGAAATTCTTAATGGCTTGGTTGTCAAGTGAGCCAACTCGGCTCGATTTGGATCTAAACGACACGAATCTGAGTTCAATTCGTCAGACTCGTTTTTAAACGAGGTAAAGAAATCTCGCATCGACTTCGTTCGTGTGTCTCTTAACCTAAACAAGTCGGTTCCCGAATAAATGATATTTTAATAGATAATTTAAACATCAAATTTAAATGTATAAAAGAAGTTAAGTAAAACAAAACTAAAAAATATATAAATTTATGAATATTATGATATATTGTATTAAAAACTTAAACGTACCACTACAAAAAAAATGTTATTATTAATAATATTAACTAATGAAAAAGTTTAAAATATTAAAATAATAAAAAAATTTAAGTCCGAATCAATGAAAAAAAAATATTACTCTATAATTCTATTTGAATTTTTTAAAATTATAAAAACATTTATTAAACATAATTTTTTTAAAAAAATCTTAAATGTGGAGTCTCTCTAAGGTGGGCCGTGCAATGTGTATACAGAGATGTATATCAAGAGTAAATTTCATTGATTATATATTAATGAATTTAAATAGTTATTGTATCTATGCATATTGATGGGGACATGATGGAAAAATCCAAATGTATGAAAAAAGGGTAAAGAAAAAAGCAAAGATGAGAGGCATGCAGAGGCATGACAACGATGTCGTGTAATGTTGTGTGTAGTGTCTTTGTCGATCCAATAGTACTCTTCTCTGTTTTCCTTTATATTATTTATATTTTATTTATAATATTACATTTCTTATTCATCTATTTATTTCCAAGTTATAGGCGATTCTCTACGCGTGTATATATAAATATATATATATATATACCGTAGAAAATTCCATACGCAAAAAAACATTAAATTGTATTACTCATGTAAAAAAAACACACACTAGTTTGGAAAAATACATGTTTTATTAATAACCCTAAAATACTATTTTTTTAAAAAACTTATAATAATACTAAAAAAATTATAAACAATTACATTTTACACACAATCTTATATTATTCCTTTGTACGAAAAAACGGACTTAACTCATCTGTGAAAGCTATAAATTTATTATTTTGAGAAACTATAACTATTTTATTTTAGAAGATAAATGATTTTTTTTTGAAATACTGCAGTTGAAATTTTTTTTGATGAATTTAAAATATATCTAGTTGATATAAATATAGTAATTTAAATTTTTTTTATGAGATACATACATTAAACAAATGACACGAAATTCGTCCGTTCAATTGCTATAACAATTAAGTTAAATTAAAAAGGTGCTTATAAACATGAGGGGAAAAAAAATAAAGAAGCAAAATCAAAATAATAACTAAACATGCAATTTGATGGTTAATTTTCTTTAGCTTGATTCCCTCGTTTTGAAATTGTAATATCATTGTCTTCGTAATAATCAATCGTTATTTTTCCAAACATGGTTTTCACTTCAAACCTATTATATACTCTTTTGACAAAAAAAAAATAATTAAAGTATATGTACCTTAAAAAAACAATAAGGAATTAGGATTACTAAGCAAAATAAAAAAAACTACATTATTTATGTGTTTAATAATATAATAATAACTGCTGTGTTTTAATTAATTAAATGAAAACCATCACTTTCCACCAACCCTCTTCACATAATACACACATATATATATATACACTAACTATTATAATATATGTGACCGCAGATGTGTTTTCATGATTTTAAGTTTGGTAATGCATGAATAATTTATGAATTATGAGGAGCTGTACTTTTGTTAACATCAATTGAATATAATTACTCTTTTGGATTGGTAGGTTGGACCTTTACATTTTTAAATAATATATCAAGAAGATCATTATTACATTGCATAGATACCTTAGTGAACATATTATATTCCTTTCTATAATTTACTGATGTAGTAGACCCATATGAAATATCACTTATATATATATATATATACCTCGCGGAATCAATATCATTTTCCACTAAACCAATCTATAGAAACAGTAATTATATATAAGGTTCTTCTCATAAATGGAAATGAAAAATGAATTGTATTGATAAATATAATTTTATATTTTTAGAAATTATGCGTTGGTCAGTCCAATAGCAGGCAAGAGAGACAAAAGGCAGGCTCGACAGGATTTGTTCATTAGGACCCAACACGATCAAACATTGTATCAAATCAATAGTGCCCTAAATATAACCCTCATCTCTTCTCCGCCATCAATTTGTTTCCAATGATTTTTTTTTAATCCGAATTGAAAATATCCAAGTTAGCTGCTATTCAAAAATAATATGGTATTTTTTTTTATAAGATTTAGTTTTAGATTATTAATAATACCAAACCGAATGTTGTCACTACAATAAAATTATAAAAAAAATGTTAAATTTTTACGTTGAACAATGTGTAACCGAGGAATGGACATTTGGTGTATTTTAGTTTATTTTCATTATTTTTAATTACATCACCTATTTCTTATTCCATTTTTTATTTCATTTCAATTTTATTCTAACAATTTCAAAACGATTATGAGAAAAAACCCTGTCACCGAAGATACTGTTTTTTACGTTCTTGTTGCTGTTGCTGCATCCGACAAGGGACACTGTATTCCAATTTGCAAAACTCGACTGAGGGCAAAACCAAAGCTCCACAACCACAAACACGATCAGATTCTGACCTCAGAAGTTTAGAAATATATAAGCTTGAAAACACAACGCACTTTATTATATATCTCGAACCACAAAACGAAAGCCTTTCTGAGTTACAAGACTTCGATTCGGCTTTATTATATCACTAATTTCTTATCATTTTTTTTTATTCCATTTCAATTTTATTCTAACAATTTCAAAACGATTATGAGAAAAAAAAACCCTATGTCACTGAAGATCAATCAACACATGGACTGTTTCTTATGTTCTTGTTGCTGTTGTTGCATCCGACAAAGGACACTGTATTCCAATTTGCAAAACTCGACTGAGGGCAAAACCAAAGCTCCACAACCACAAACACGATCAGATTCTGACCTCAGAAGTTTAGAAATATATAAGCTTGAAAACACAACGCACTTTATTATATATCTCGAACCAGACTTCCATTCGGCTTTATTATATTGTAGTGGATCTCTAAACCGAAATGCTATTCGGGATGCCCTTTCCGGTCATGCCACCTTCCCTTGTGTAGTCCGAAGTGTTTGGATACAACAAAGTGTACGACATCTTCACCGGACCAAACCGGTTCTTCAAGCTCTTATCGTTGTTCCTTTTGATGATGTTGTTTTCGATCTGCTCAAGCCTCTCGGTGAATCTTCTAGACAGCCAAAATCTCATCATCAGCCGTCCAATTCGGAGATTCTCTCTGACCCAAATAAAGTTCGTCCGTTGAATGCATAGACAAAACCTCGATGATAGAAATTCCGAGTAGTGTCTGTAGTTGCGGAGTGATCGTCTTCAAATATGCGACATCAGGATCTTTCTTTAATTCTTCATACTCTTCCGTACCCGGTTCAGGCATAAACTTACGTCTAACAGTTGGTCGGTTAGGGAGAAAACCAGCATAGGGATATTGACCGAAGTTAACTGCAGCGTGAAGAGCGGATGCAATCCAGACGATGATCGAACAAGTTTGGATCAGTTCGGACCGAGATTGCATTCTCGGCCACCAAGGCTCGTATTTCTTATCTCCATGGCCTACGTTTCGGAGTTCAAACCACCAAGCCTAAAGCTCGACATCGGCTTGGATAGCTTTGTCGGTCTTGTAACAGTACGAACAATACTCTGTAACCCATGTTTCAATGGCTGACCATATCTCAAGCCCATCAACAACGTATGGATAATCCTCGATCAGAAGACGAACACCGCCATCACAGTTTAGATCCAGAACCGCCATTCCTATGTACATACAAGTTAAAAACACTCATTAGGTTACTTGTTACCCAAGTTCCACTGAAGAATAAAAAGCTAGCTTAGAGGATAACCTCTTGAGAAGATCTGCAGGAAGAGCATGATCGGTGAAAACCCAGTGTCGATAGCGTGAAGAAGACAGTTCCATGGAGTACTTGCCCGGGAAAACTGTCCTTTCGAGCACACCATCAGCATTAATAAGAATATGACGAGCCAACGCATTTATCTGCATTATGTCGCAAAAATGAGGATGTAAAAGCTTATAGATCGGATGAACACACTCAGTTGCCTATTCGCTGAGATTATGAACGGCTCCATAGTAGCATGAGTGTGTAACCTATGAAAATCGATCGATATCAAATATAAGAATCAGTTTAAAGCAACACTTTAGCATAATAACTAGCTAGATGATTGGTCTTTTACCAGTGGCTGATGAGTTGATGATAACCAGAATCATTAATTGCAACATAAGCCTTAGCGAGCTGCCATATTAAACCCTCGACACCTTTCTCAGCCGGAGTGAAGGTCTTGCTTACAGCTCCATACTTTTCGCCTTGTGGATGAGGAAGACTCAACTCAATGGCCAGAGGCATCAGAATCCCATTGTCTTGAAGGAGCAAAATGGTCCGAGTAGCGTATAGTTTTGCACCTATAGAGTTTATCCTTCTCAAGTAGGGCATCAACGAATCATGATAATCCAAAATGTATAACTTGTTTTGCTTCAATGCCTACAATAACATATCAGAACTTTTAGACAACCATAACAGACATGAGAGCGATCTAACGATTATAGTTTCAAGTACCTCGTCGATGGTAAGACCATTCATGTTGGGCTCGACGTGCTCTTCGTGGATAGAAGAGTGGTGGTTACCATATTTATCATAATCCAGCTTGCTCACCGGAGGAAATTCCTGCATTTTGCACGAGATTTCAACAAAAAAAAGCAACAAACAAAGAGAAAAGATGATACGATTCTAAGACCTGGAGACGCATGATGACAAATGGATTGAGACCGGCGATCATTTCACGGCCAAACTCCTCATCGGTTCTCCAAGCCGATCTACTCTCTGTAAAAACATAAACTTTCACAAGAGAAACCTGAAGTCCACTTCGTTATGACGACAACACAAGTACAATAACACATACCTTTGATGATAGTGGGCATCGGATACTTCAAAAATCGATCGCCATCATTACGAACGAGTTCTCTAAACATCTCCCATGGAAGAATGTCACGAATCTTGGAAATAATATGAGCATTAGGGTGCTTGATACCACCCTCATAAAGATTGAAATATCATCGAAACTATCAAACTCGTTGAAGTTCTTGTCACAAAGAGAACCGATTTCAGGGACGATGACTTGAGCCACAGATTTGATAGCATAAGCGATACAGTTTGAGAACTTCACCATGTTTAACCTCTCATCTCGAGGGACGTATATGTCCAGACTCAGTAGTGACAATCTGCTCTCTGACTTCGAATTTGTGCTAATGAAAAACCGTGATGAGAATTAACATGTTATCTAATGTTTTATAAACTTAAATGCATTACTTTGATATTTTATAAGGTCTACCTCAATTTTACTATGAACAACCTCATGACTGTAATATATTTCATTCAACACATTTTATGACTATAAATATATATATTGTATGTGAAAACCCTCGATCAAACAAAAAATGGAATAGTTTTGAGAATCTAACTGGTCTTAGTAGGTTTACGTCCAGTACGACAACGGCGAGGATAAGGGTATTCAGGGGAACCACAGAGGACAGGACGAGCAGAGTCTTAAACTTTGTCCGGAGCTCCCAAGTCATTGAAAACATCGTAATCATAGACTCTGTCTCATTCCTTCCTCTCTCCTTCCCCATTCCCTCGCAGATTCTTCAACTCTTCTACCCTTATTTCCTTGAGCAACTCCGGCATTTCACTCGGTAGATATGCCTAATTTATACGAGAAAAAATGGAAACAATTAGACCCACAATCAAAATATAAATCTAAATCTTATTATTAATTGATTACCTGATTTGAGAAAAAGACACGATCGTAACCAAAACAGTGAGAAGGGTAGATCCAAGAATTGCAGACAAAATGGATGGGCCCAGAGGCATCAGGAACATCATGGAGAGTGAGAGACTTGAGAAAGAATTGGCTGCAGTGATTGTTCTTGATCACAAACGCCTTCGGCGTTCCCATTGACCGGTCCCACTCAAACGCAACAGCAAACACAGTTTCTTCGGCGGTCACCGCCGACTTTATCTTTGTCACCCATTTCTCCAAATGAGATGCTTTTCCAAGTCTTCCTCTCCTCTCATTTTCTGCAATACACATAATTTGGATTCTACAACAAAACCCAAACAAACGATAGATGGACGAAATAGGAAAATGCACATCACATATTCTCCCTTATCCCTCTTTTCCCCCTTCCTCATATTCCTTCCTCTCTTCTTTTGATGATGTGGTAAAACTAATGCAATGTTTTGAAAATGATATTATAGAGCGATGATGAAAATAAAATGAAAAGGTCCCACGATTTAAGGCTGCAGCAAGAAAGAAACAATATATATATATACACACATACATCTATATATATATCCTCAATCCAAGGGATTCTATGAAATCATCACTATTCAAAAGCCCTTCTCACACACTCACAAATGCAAAAGTGGGACCCTTCATCATCTACACAATCATTTCATGCATTTACAAATTACCATTTGGATAGAGCCTCAAGGTGGATACATATAGACACACACACACACACGCATATATATATATATATATATATAGTTGGCTTAATAATCCAACGAACCGTTGATCCAATCGTATCACGATATTAAGTTATGATTATAGAAGATAAAATTGCTTTTTAAATGTTTAGTTTCTGATAATGAAGGTAACAAGATCTTTATATTTGATCGATTTAAATGCAGTGATATTTTCTTCTTCACAGCTTAGAGATGCTTCGCTACCGTGCGAATCGTGTAAGGAAAAATAGAAAAAAAAAATATGCAAAGAACAAAGAGTATACAGAAGAACATAAAAAAATTAAAAATTGAATGAAACAAACAAAAACAAAAGAAGAACGGATTATAGAAACCTTGGATTTCAAGAGCGCAGTGTAACACCCGATTCAAATTTCGTATTGCTGATGTGAGTGTGAGTGCAATTGCGGATGATTTTATAATTTAGAAATCACATTAACTGAAGTAATTATAGTTCAACGAATTCAAAACTCGCTTTAACTGAATTAACTACGCATTAATAAACGTAAATTAATGGAGGGAGACCTCTTAAAAACGGTCTCGAAGATTTCTGAGCCTCCTCAGTTCTTAAGGACTCGCATAATGACTTTGTTGGCAAACCCTAAGTTTATTTTTAATTCGTAATTAATACTAATAATAATAATAATAATAATAATAATTGATAATTAATAATAAAACAATCCTAACATGCATATCGCGCCCACACGTTTGAGAACAGAAGCTCATTATATTTATACCTATAATGTTGTATAATTTATGGGAAAATCTATATAAGTATTTTAAATAATTATGTAAAATGTAAAAAAAAAAAATATGTAAACTTTTAATTTGATAGGCGCAATGAATAAGATGGGTCTAATCTAATTCAAGGAACCTTATTCGATGATTGTTACAAAAACATGTTTTTGACATCACAAGACCAGAAGAGGGGAGAGACCGTTACTTGTTCATGTAACATACAGTAGTAAACGACAAGCCTTACAAGAAGAGAGGAAGAGATCTTTCTCCGGAAGCGTACGAAATGATTCGTCTCTTCAGCGGCGAAATGTACTGAGCTCCATGAAATCCGACAGCTCTCATTACGTTCAGAGGCCCCAGATCCACCGAATAAAGCTTCTGGAATCCATCAAGGACCGCCATCATCGCTATGTTCTCGGATTTTCTCTCCCTCTCGTACCGTCTCAGCAGATTCGCCTACACGACAACAATCACGGTGAAAATGAAGCAAAAAACCTGTCTGGGACACGAGCTTCCTAACAACGAGGCCCGAGTCCTAGTGGTTCGAGTTTTTATCATTTCCCCCTAGAGGCTATGGATTCTAACCATTCCTTCCGGTTAACCAAGGGGTGGGAACGGATAGAGTGCCTGAAAGTTTTAAGGTATCCGGACCTATATTTGAAGGATTCAGGTATCACAAATTGATACCCATATTTGTATCCGAGAATGACGAGTTCCGGTAAAACATTCGGTATCACGGGTATCTGAACCCGAAAATTAAAAATAAAACATATTTGTAACAAAAAACGCAAAACATATCACATGGCGGGTGCATGAAAAGTAACCAAATCCTTGCGTTCCAAAGACTAAAAGGATAATACTAAAAATTAAAAGGTGTGTATAAGTTCTCAACAGATATATAAGGTTAACTTGATTTTTGTCTACTCGTGCCCATACCCGTTAGACGGTTTAAGAAAACCGTTCCACACCCGTGCCATATACCCAAAAATTGGGTATCCTGCGGGTCGGGTATCCAATTTCCGGATATTTGTGTCCACCCCTGTTTCCAAATGTACGAGTACTTTACCAAAAAGAAAAAAAGAAGAGCTTTCAATGACTTCATACACATACCTCGCCTATATCTGTGCCAAGAGCGATGCCTTCTGTGATTGCTTTGGAGAGAGCAGATGCATCCGCAAATCCAAGATTAACCCCTTGACCAGCCAATGGATGGACCGTGTGAGCTGCATCGCCGATCAGGGCTACCCGCTTCGATGCGTAATCTTTCGCATGCCTTAGAGACAGCGGAAACGCCATTCTTTCCGAGGATAACTTCACCACCTTCGGCGGGATCTCGAATCTCTCCTTGGCCGATACAGTACCAACTCCCGAAAACCAAGAGAGAACCCCTAAATCTCCCCGAGAACTCGTCGTTGTCTCGGGATGTGGGCCGTACCCGTGATCTAGTGCATCATTCAAAGCTTTGATGAACTCATCCTCGCTCATTGATTTACGATCTGAAGCTTCTTTCGGGTCCATCGTCCACACTATGTTGCTATACTTGTCCCCGACCGGCAAAAGCGCGATTGGGCCATTGGGCAAGAACCGTTGCCACGCCGTGTGGTTTTCAACAGCATGCTCTACTGTACAAATGATAGCGTTCTGCGAGTAGTTCCACCCGGTCGTTTTGATCCCCGCCAATTCCCTCACTCGCGACTTGGACCCGTCGGCACCTACCTGTACAAATGTTAGATATTATATCTTAACTTGGTGAGGTATAATAGGGGTGGACACCCAAAAAATTCAAGATATCTAGACTCGTATTCGAAGAAATTGGGTATCATAATTTGATAACCATACTCGTACTCGGAGTTCTCAAATACCTGACAAACTATTTGGATACTCGCGGGTACCCAAACTAAAAAATTATATTAAAAAAACAGAATTATAACAAAAAAATTTAAGTTCGGGTACCCGAATCTGGTATATGAAGACAAAAGGGTAAGTATTTAAAATTTCTAGGAGTATATATGTCATTTGTAATTTACACGCGGGTACCCATTACCAATTTTTAGTTACCCATACCGTTCAACGGGTTATAAAAAACTCGCTCCGAACCATGAAAGGTCAGTTACCCGAAAATCGGGTATTCACGGTACCGATTTTTGGGTATTTATGCCCACCCCTCAATATATAATCCTTTTTCACTTTACAAGCACCCGAGAACACCTACCACAAGCTTTGCATAGACGTTATTTCCATCAGTTAGTTCGAGTTTAGCAAGGCGTCCTCGCATATATAAGTCGGTCGTAGATGGGGCTCCGCCCAAACCAGACAATGATGAGCTCGGTAGCATATCCATGGAACTTAACCTTGCCGGGTAAATAGTCTTCTGAAGATCTGAATCCTGTCGATATCAAAAATGGGTACACACCAAACTGATGGCTAAGCATCCAGATTTTGAAGAGAGAATGGCATTTGTTGTGGAAAATGTATTATCAAATGATCACTGACTCGTATTCGCGAACGGTATAAAGATGAGAAATAAACATCGGTTTGGATGCATGAACAAGGAAAAAATACCTGTACACAAGATAGCAGAGAACTCTGAAGAACCTTGTTCTCCACCACACACCTATAGATTATGTTTAGAATTAGTTCACAACTTTACATCAAGAATGCAAAAGGTAGAAAAAACGAACAATTACTTACCCCAAAACGTCTTTATCTACGTCTCTTGCGTTGTATCTTGTGTACCCGAGGCCGGTATAGTCCCAAACCTAAAACCGAAACAAAAGTACAAACGTTTGTGATGTTCGGTCCATGATCAGAATATACAGTCCTAAACTTCTTTCATTCTTTATGAATAGTGTCAACACCAAGTTGATGATTCTCTAGGTCTGCTTGTTCTGTTGCGTTAAGATCAAATCCAAACGAGAAAGGAGGTCCATTATAGGAGGGTTTATAAGGGCCACATTAATACCAATGCCAAAAGAGGCTATTATTTCATGAATTTGAAAAAGATTTCAGCAGTCATCATCAACTATGTTTCTTCAGCATAGAATTCTGAAGTAGAAGTTTTTAGGGATGACAACCTGCATTTTATCGAAATATGCATGTCGATGCTGTTCAACGTACTGCCATGCACCAATATCTGCAAAATTTAAGCTTGAATAAGCGCGACCCGGAAGTGGATAGGATTTTCATGGACTGAACCAAGACGAAAACATGGAAAAACTTGGCTTCAGGGATGCAAATCAGAATTATAAACTTTAATGGAGCCTATAGTACTATATGGAGACCTCTGATAGAATAATAAGCTTACAATCAGTGTGAAGAAGAGAAAATTCCTGAAATATTGTACTTACGGTACCTTTGAAGAAGGAAATTGTTGCAGGCGTGACGGTGCTGACTCTGGGATCAGGAGGGTCTCCCTTCCCGATGATATTTCTTCTCCCCAAAAGGGGATTGTTGTCAATAATGGCAACATTCAAGTGCTTCGTCAATGGCTTGCTCGCTGAAAGATAATAAAATTAAGCAAAGGGCGATGTGTGATTGTTTATGTAGAAGAAGCTGGAGGAAGAAGGCACAGATATAATCAAAACCGATAATGAAAGGCAGAAGAAGGTTAAAAACTCTTAGAATAAAACCAAGAAGTCAAGAGATTTGTGAAAATTTTCTTAGTAAACAAGAAGACGGAGATATTATTCCGTACTTCTGCCATTAAAGATTACAATGATGAAATGACGCACCTTTATACCTCCAAACAAATTTCATTGAACTGGGGGGAGCATAAAAGCCAGTTAATTTAGAGAAATTATAAACTGCAATCGCTACTTACCCAATGAAGCAGCTAATGCAATGCCCACCATTCCTCCACCAACAATAGCAATGTCATGTTGTTGACTACCATCAGTGGAACTCTTTTTTGTATCGCTCCCCTAAATTGATGAATAAACGTAAACCGAGTTTACAAATTTATATCACAAAATCGTATTCCATGGACCGTATATATTTTTGTCACAAAGAAAGGAAATGAACAACAGAAAATCTGGAGCCCTGAAGGAAATTTATATCATTATAAAGGGGATATGATAATATAAGTAGCTTCTGAGAATTCTTAGAAAATGAAATATCTGAACCGATGCACAAGAACGTACTCCAAAGAATCTTACACCGTCACCCACAGCAGAACCAAAATCAGATGCTTCGGGTGTCACATAACTCGAACAAGTTCTCAGCAAAATCTTTGGCCCACCTATACTTGTCCTAACTTTCCTTGCAAGAACCCTGCCCAATAGACCGATCCCATTAGACAAAGCACGGAACAATAAATACGGTGATCTATGCATTAGTATTCAGGTAAGCTGAATCAAATTATAGATAACCCAAATCAAACTTCCTAAGAGAAAGTGTTTGACCCTGTGCCAAACCAAAATAGAAGAACATAACTCCGGTTCTAAGTTTATCCATGGTTTTCGGTTTAAACAAGCAATGAAAAAGAAAAGTCTGAACTGGATAATCATCCACAAAATTCCCACTCCAATAAAATACCAAAAACATTCATGAGAATGTTGGATAAATCTCCCTCTTGCTTCTTAAGAATTATCTATTGAAGAAAATATGTAATCAGACAGTAGAATCACAAAATCATCTAACCCTGGAAGCCAGTGATACTCAAGAACAAAAAGCAATTTGAGTCATTATGATTCCATTCACATGAATCAGATGCAGGACCATGTTGACAATATCACAGTGAAGAAATACTATTTCAAGATCAAATTAACCAACGCGTCAAAGCTAAAGGAATCAACTTTCGAGAACCCAAATAGCTAAAAATCAAATTACAGGAACAGCAAACTTCGTCATCCATTTCCAACCCAAAAGAAAAGATCAAATCTTTTACATCATTATCAGCTCAAATGGGTATTGTTCACAGCGGAATCTGGAATCCGTAATACCCTTGAAGATGAATTTACAGAAAAAACACAATCAACGACGATTATCTAATTACTGTCTGGATTAATCGAACAATTGGTTTTTACGAGGAAAAAAATATCGCAATCCGCATGCACAGGAAATCAAGTGAAGAGAACACACAGGGCGAACAAGGCGAAACACGAACCTCTTCATCGTATTGTCGTGGGTGAGAGAGAATCAGACGGTATGCGGAGCTTGCAAACAACTTGAAAAGCTTAACCAAAAAAAAAAAACTTGAAAAGCATATAGGCATCAAATCGGGTTGACCCGTTTTTGTGTTTCCGGATCCGGATTCCCGATTCTAATCGCGTTACAAACGCGAGGTCTGCGTTACAGTTTGTACAGTGCGGTCCTAAACGTCTCAAACGCGAACGCGCTCAAAGCTCATGTTCTTACACTAAAAGCCGCGGATTTTCACACAAAGTTTCAAACTTTACCAAGAATTAGGAGGAGAAAAAAAGAGAAACAAAGAGATGAAACTGTGTAAGTAGAAACACTTCTCAGATACAAAAGGAACAAGAATGATGTCTGTTACATTTAAAAGAATAACCTTCCATCAACTCAAGGAAAGTTCAAACAATCTGCAGCTCCTCAAAGAAACTGTAAAAGGCAGAATTCTGTCTCGTATATTACAAAATGAACAATCAAACATGTTAGTACCATCCAAGAACAAGCAAGCAATCAACAATCTGATTCCCAATTGAAATGTTCTAATTCCTCTTCGAAACTGAGGTTATCCGCTTTGACGTAAAAAGCATAGCCCTTGTTTCTCCGTGTTTTCCCCGTGAAGAATACGCTATCCTTGCAGGGCAATGTGTCGATAAAACCTGTGTAGGTTAGGAGTATGTCTCAAAACTCGGGTCATCATCTGTGATCTCACTGGTTCTGGTTCTTTCCCTTTTTGGATTTCTGCTTCTGTTGCTTCAGCTTCTTCCTTGCTTCAGCAGAGACCCAAGTGTAATCAGCCGGGATAGCAAACGGGTCTTGATGTGAATGGATCAAGCTGCTCGAACCATAGGGGTTTGTTCTAGAGTGGTTAGATGGAGCTTTTGCCCAACTAAACCAGGAAGATGATGATGATGATGAATGTGTTGGAGCTGGGCTCTCATAGCCAGAAGCAGTAGGGCTCGAGGGAGGTGTCTTGAATTCATCTGCTGGCTGCAGTTCTTCAAATTTCGTGAAGGTAACAAGCACTCTGATTGTCGGTACAACAGGAATAGCAACCTGAACACACAAGGAACATGTTGTAAAGATCGTTTATGATCAGGTCGATTGATTTGATTCAACAGAATACGATTAGAAAACGTACCTTGACGGGAAATGTACCCACCGGGAGTTTTGTTGTGAGAAGATCACGTAAACGACGAATTGCCTTGACCTTGTTGGCAATTATGTCAAGCAATGGAAGCAGTTCTTCAGTTTGCAGGGGAAAGTTCGGGGAGAGCCAGAGAACAGGTCTTAAACTTTTCTTGTACTCGCTTTCATGGTTTGCCTCCTTCAGTGATTTAGAAGTGACTCTTGCTTTCCTGTGTTCATCCCTCACCACCACCTCCACCGAGTGTCTCCCGGGTTTTATCTGTTTAGAATCTCCGAGGAGATCACTTACCTTCTCGTCTACGCAGAGAGAACTTCTCGGAGGTACATATACACTCTGCTTCTCGTGTTTACTCTCCTTTCTTCTCCAACCCCCAAACCACCCTTTCTTCTCGTGTTTCCCGTTGCCCCCATTTCGCATCTCGTTAAAATCCTCTACATGAATATCTCGAGAACCATTTTCACCATTCTCGTTAAGAAGGTTTTCTGGAAGATCAAGCTTAAGTGCAGCCTCTAGTTGCCTTTGCTCTTCCTCTGTTAAAATATCGCTGAGATCATCATCACCCCCTTCTGCGCCGTTCTCGTACTCCTTATCAGTTGCAGAGCCGGGAACACATCTGGATTTAATGCTGACAACCACATTGTGCATATCATATACCTTAGCTTTCCACGGACCCACCATCTCGATCTTTTCCTGTCGCCTCCAAGTCGTTTGTGGCAAGAGCACAGCTTCCGTAACATCAATCCCGGGTCTAAATATATTGCTTTGAGACATTGCAGCCACTTCTTTCTTGACCTCTTCCTCTGATGCTGGAGCACCTGCACCATCCAGAGCGTTCATAACTTCTTTCTCCTTATGTGAAACCATACAAAGCGAACCAGGAGGAACTTTCCCATCCTCCGACCCATCACCGAGGAAAAGTATACTCTGATCCGACCGCTGAATCTTGAACCCATCAAACCCGGCTAAAGTCATATCCGCTCTCAGATTCGCTCCTACCTTCCACACCTTATAAGTGTCCGAAGGAGCAATCTTGGACACAAAGGGTACAACAGAACTCTCAAATTGAAAACTAATCTCCAAGTAAAAATCCTTCATTCTATGCATTGACGCGATCAAGCGAGGCAATCTTCTACACCATTTAGCCCAAGCCAATGGCTGGTAATGCCGCACTATTATCATCGCAATTGCCTCTTGCCTACTACATATAGCTTCTTGTAGAGCGTTCCAACCGTGTTCATTCTGCAATGTCCAGTCAGCACCCGAGATCATGAGCATTTCAACCATGGTTGCGTCTCTCAGTTTGACAGCTAATTGAAGGGGCGTGTCCCGGTTTGGAACATCTCTTCTATCAATGATAGCCGAGATGGCATCGGCTTTCACCTCCTCGGCTAAGGAAGTTGATTCTGTCTGAATCTCAGACGGGTTCCGATGCTTCGGGAGACCAGACAGTATAACCCTGAGACCGGCATAGTCTCTGCAGGCAACGGCTCTGTGAACTGGACTGTGTATGTACTTGGCAGCATCAATGGTAGTTTCCATGTCTCAACAACAGATATATCAGATCAAGTTCCAAAATTCAACCCCAAAACATAAGTGAACTCTTCAGAATTTCGAATCTAGAACTAATCATTTCGACCTTCGGAAGCCAATTGTAGAGATTCAAGCTAATATTCGGAATTTCCTGAAGAAGGTAAGCAACAAGCAAAGAGATTGTCAAAAACCCAATCGAGAACCCAAGCAGAGGAAACACAAGAGATCAATCAAGATCGACGAAAAAGGGGAACCCACTACGAGAAAATTGGTGGGTCCAGATCAAGAAATCCAAAAACCCATGAAAGTTCTCACCTTTTTCTTTTCTGTCCCCTCTTGACTTTCTCGGCTGATGAGAAAAATCATGTCGGAGACACCATTGACGTCGCACCTTTTCTCTTCATTTCCCCTCGATATATTCCGATTCCCCTCTTCTTCTACAGAGGAAGAACAAGAGAAGAGAGTATTAAAGTAGCAGAAGGAGAGATTCTTGTGATCCAGTACAGATCAGACAACACGAGAGCGACGCATGTGGGAGCGTGAAACAAAAAACAAAATGCCACAAAAATAAAAGAGAATTTCAAAGGGCACAAAAAAAGGTGCGAATATGAAATCAATTCCAGATTTGGTTACAGAGAAAAAAAAAAGAAAGAAAAATGGGAAATGGAGTCGCGGAGATGGTGGAGAAGAAGAAGAAGCATGTGCTTAGTGGGAGGGAAGACAGCGAACCAACCACAGTGAAATTGGAAAATATTCACTCCGATACAATCAATATATATGTATACGTACATTTTATGTGTATATATTGTATTAGCAAACTATATTTAATTAATCTGTTTTTGAAAAACCAAGTTAATACTCACCAAACCTTTTATATATATTATTTATTGGCTTGGTCAGATGGTAAAATATGCCAATGGATTTACATTTCTTGAGAGAAACTGAAGGTATTGGCATGTAATCCGGAATTTGGACCAACTCACTTACAAATCAGTATTTAGATTAAGGTTTGAAGTTTATAATTTGTTTAACTTATACGGATAAAAAGAATTTGCTAGTACTGATTACATAGATGAATTCATTTGAATAGAATAAATGGCAGAAAACAAAAATATTAGATTAGCTTATATAAATAACAACCACCATTTACAACGAAATCAAAGTGTAAGACAAATGCTTTTCCATCTTACAAGGCAGCATCATCATCTGTCTGCAAAACAAAACATGTCCAGCCTCAGCAAAGTGTTATTTCAACGGCCCTGTACCCATGAGATATCTTGTTCTTTTTCTTCCTTTGCCATTTCTGCATATCTGCAACCCAAATGAACCAGAAATGCTACTGTGATAGCCCGGGATTAGCACAACGTGTCTCTCGGGAGTGGACAGAGTCAGACGTTTTGTCATAGCCACCGGGTCGAAGGGATCCCCACCCGAAATCATTTGGCCCTCTTGCAGTAACTATCTTACCCTGAAACATTTTTTTCTTGACAACACCACCATAACAAAAACATCATGAAAAAGATCTGCCTTGGCATGGAAATGGTCGTATAAGTTCAATGTGTAACTTATGCAACAGATGGTTTCGAGAGTTTGATGATAACGTGCAACATGCCGAAGTTTTCCTCGAAAAACGTGAGAGGTTCCGCACCTGACCCTAGTGAGAATGAAAATGCACACAAAGCATAAGCTGATTTATCTCTATACGCCATCAGTAAGTCGTTCAGACCTGGGCATTCAAGCAAAAACACACATACGATTATTTTCCGGAAAAAAAAAAGGATGAATCAGATGAAAGAACGAGGTGAAACATGAAGGAGAAAGAGACCAAGCTTCTCCAGAAACCCTTTTATGCAAAAACACAAAAAAACATCAGAAGTGTCAAGTATGAGCTCTAGCGAGATCCCAGGAAAATAATGTTTCTTCGCAATCCGGTACTGCGATCAATGGGAACATCTAGGATTAGAACGAATGTAGTAAGATAGTTCACCAGGTCATCAATGGACTGACTATACTCATTACTCACACTCGTTACCAGCCACCAAAAGAAAATCAAGAACCAGAGTGTTCCAAGCCAGTTTCAAAAATTTCTAAAAAAAAATATCTAAGGAAGCCAGTAAAGCTTCAACGATTATATTACCAATGCATGGCTCGTGATCCCATTCTCTACGAATGCATCGTTTTGTCTCTTATTGCGGCATGTACATAAAAAAGAGTGGCAATTACGACTTACAAAGACGGCATCAAGACAAAGGAGGAGGAAAGGAACAAAAGCTAACATGTATGGCCCTGCAAAAACATATCAAAACAACATCATAACACAATCTGAAAATCCACTGGACAACAAAGGATAAGTTCAAGATGTTCAAGAAACCTAAACACCATACCAGGGAAGATCTTTCAGGGCATTGAATTTGAAACAGAGGCATGTATCCTCCACTAGCACCGGCCCGTTTACCTTTGTATTTATCAACAAACACATAATTTCATGTCATCTATCTCACTCTTTGTAACTAAAAACTCAATCACAAACAATCCAACGGAGGAAAAGAAACGTGCAATCATGCAAATTCCATAGATGAGTTACACAACCATTATATAGACGACTACTGTATCAACTCCATTGTTAAAAGTGAATTTGCTTATAAAAAACAATGATAACAAGTACCAAAAAAAAAGGTAAAAACTTCCATCAGAAAATAATGAACAAAAAACAAAGGAGGCCAACAAAGGCACCTGAAGAGCGGCCAAACGAGCCTTCTCTTTGGGGAGATATCCTCAGGTTCACCTTGCAACTCAGGCACACCGAAACAAGAACACCCAAAAGAGAACGCTATAAGATTTTAATCGAAAACGAGGAAGACAGACGGGATTTTGGCGGAAGATTCGAAATGGGTACGGACGGTCGAGCTCGAGAGACTTGAAAGGAATGGAATTCCCCCAGAATTGCCTTGACCTCTTCGAGCTTCCGCGCATTTCCCGTCACGAATGTCATCCGCCGCGGCACCACCGTCCCTCCCGCCGCCGCCGCCGCCGCCGCCGTTTTCACTCCAATAACTTGGAATCACTCAAGTCCTTCGCAGGAATCAAGAGAGAGAGTGCGTGTAGAGGAGATTCAGAGGAGATTCTTGGAAACCCAGACTCTCTGAATGCCCTCCCCTAAAGATCTTGATTTGGGTGTATGCCCAATATGGGCCCAACAATCATAATGGGTTATAATCGAGTCGGGCCGGGTTCGGGTTAAGCCCATTGAACTTTAGGCCTTATGTAGGCCCATATAGTTTGATAAGTCAACGCTTGGTCCAAATCAGACAACTATAACTCTAACATGTGTATGGTCGTTCAGACATATTTATCTTCTGTGCTAACACAAAATCTCTCTTGACACTAGCATTTGTTAAGTAGCCTAAAAATATTTCCCTTTACTAAATTTTTTAAAAGAATTTATTAAGTTTCCTTGCTATTTGGAGAATTCGAATAATTTATTAAAATAGAGAGAATCAAAATGGAATTCGAAGCAAAATTTTCAGTTGTACTATAACACCAAATTTGTGTATTCATGAGAATAAAATAAACTAAAGGGATAATCCCATATTCCCCCACAAATTTTCGAAAAAGTTCCAATTTCCTACACCAATTTTTAATTTGACAAAAAACTACACCGGATTTCAAATATTTCCAAATTCCCACACAAAATCTTAAAATGTGTTGCAATTTCCCCCATATCCGTAAACGGCGTTAAGTTCCGTCAATTTTAATGCTGATGTGGCATGCCACGTCATACAGATTTCGCCAAATCAGCACATTTCGCCACATCATCCAGCCACGTCAGAAAAATAAATAAAAATTAAAATTAAAATAAAAATATCTAGAATTTTTTTAAAAACTAATAAAATAAAATAAAAATACAGAATTTCAAATTTTATTTTTTTAAAATAAAATAGAAAATTACATATACATATATATACACTTTTATATCTATACACAATTATATACATATACATATATACATATATACATCTACATACATAATTATATACATATATATATATATATACACACTTATACATTTACATATATACACATTTTTACATATATACACAATCTTTTTAAAAAACTTTTAAAAAATTACATAATTTTAAAATTTATTTTTTTAAAATAAAATAAAAAATTACATATACATATATACACAAATAATATATATATATATATATATTCACATATGTATATATACATATTCATATATATACATATATATCCATATATATATATATATTGAATATGTATATATATATATGTGAATATGTATGTATATATGTATAAATATATATATATACATACATATTCATATGCATATATATACATTTATACATACATACATGCATACATACATATATACATGTATGTATAAAGGAGAACACATATGTATATATGTATGTATAAATGTATATATATATATGTATATATGTATATATATGCATATGAATATGTATGTATATATATATATTTATACACAAATACATACATATTCACATATATATACATATTCAATGTATATATATGGATATATATATATATGTATATATATGAATATGTATATATACATATGTGAATATATATATATATATATATATATATATATTATTAGAGTATATATGTATATGTAATTTTTTATTTTATTTTAAAAAAATAAATTTTAAAATTCTGTAATTTTTTAAAAGTTTTTTTAAAAAATTGTGTATATAAAAGGAACAAAAGCTAACGTAAAAATGTGTATATATGTAAATATATAAGTGTGTATATATATATATGTATATAATTATGTATGTAGATGTATATGTGTATATAATTGTGTATAGATATAAAAGTGTATATATATGTATATGTAATTTTCTATTTTATTTTTAAAAATAAAATTTGAAATTCTGTATTTTTATTTTATTTTATTAGTTTTAAAAAAAAATCTAAATTTTTTTTATTTTTATTTTATTTTTTATTTATTTGCTGACGTGGCTGGATGATGTAGCGAAATGTGCTGATTTGGCGAAATTTGTATGACGTGGCATGCCACGTCAGCATTAAAATTGACGGAAATAACGCCGTTTACGGATATGGGGGAAATTGCAACACATTCTAAGATTTTGTGTAGGAATTTGGAAATATTTGAAATCCGGTGTAGTTTTTTGTCAAATTAAAAATTGGTGTAGGAAATTGGAACTTTTTCGAATATTTGTGGGGGAATATGAGATTATCCCTAAACTAAATTAAACCGGATTAAATCCACTCAAATCAAAATAAAACTAAACCGGGATTAAACCCGACCTATACTAATAAAAGTGAAATATAATATTTAAACACAATGTGAATCCAAGTGGGAGAGTTTGATTCCTGTAAAATTCATTTTTAAATATATAAAATGGGAATAAATAATTATATTTATATAATTTAATTGTGAATTGGGAGTGGTTGTATGGTAAGGATTGAAATAAAATACAAAATATAAGAAAAAAATATTGAAAGAATTCATGGGGGAAAGGAAAAAACATGGAGAGATTCCAAAAAAAAAAATTAAAAAACAAAAGAGAGTCCCGAGGCAAAGACCCTTGAAACATGGGCTTTCTCTATTTGTGCCTTTCCGCCGTTTTGCTTTTCCTCTTCTTTGCCCCTTGGCCCTTTATGTCTCTCTCTCTCTCATTTTAAATATAATTGTTAATTAATAATCAATTTCGTTTTTTTAAATTATAGGGTTCGATTAGATTTTTTGTTCAATTTGACTAGATTTTACCTTATTTTTACTGATAAAATTATTCCTTATTATGAAAATGATTTCATATGTTTTTTCTATTATTCTCTATGTTAAATTTGAATTCTAAATACTTTCTTTTTTAAAAATATATTCTTTAAATTTTTATATCATACTTGATTTAAATATAATTAGACCATAATCAGATGGATTAATTCAATATAAAATAAAATTGAAAACAAAGTAATATTAATAATCAGAGAATATAAGAAAATTATATTTTATAAATTCTTCATACTGTTTTATTTTAAAAAAATTAATATTCAAATAGAATTGGTCCAAAAAGTATACAATATTACAGATTCGGCCTAAGAAGTATAAAACAATTGTATAAACACGATCATATATTATAATTTTGTAATTAAAAAAAGGTTAAAAATAAGTAATAATTAGCGGGGTAGGTTAATGAGTGGGTCGGGTGATCTCACGTGACACTCCCTCAAAATCAGGGTTAAGGGTTTGTCGCCTAACCTAAAAGCTTCCCATCCATCCTCCTCTGCTTTCTTGCCTCATTTTTTTTTATTAGTAATTATTTTAATATTCCTTCTTATTTCCATATTGTATATATTGTTAGGTTTTCATTTGGGTTTATCTAGTTTTTATAATTTTATATTTATTTTTTATTCTTTGGATTTTTAGATTTATAAACTACATATATCATAATTATTCGATTTGATTTTATTTAAATAAACAAAAATTGTCATGTCTACGGTTTGATAAAGCTAATTTCGTTGCATTATATTATCAAAATCATTTTCGTACTATAATGATTCAAATTCAAAAGCCCTATGCATGATGATGATGATGCTTTCTATTAACTTTTTCTACAGAGTATAGTATTCCACATGTGATATTGCAATTAAAACAAAATTTAATATAACAGATATTCAAATTTTTTATAATCTAAAAATACGAACTAATTTCCAACAAATATAAACTATAAGAATGAGTCGAAAATATCAGGTATATCGTTAGGGTTAAAGAAATAAATTAGACAATTTTTACTAAACTTCTGAATTAAAACAAGTATGTCCTTATCTTTAATATATACATTACAAAAATATTGTAAAATTATCTATAAAACGGTAACATTGAAGTAGAATATTGAGAAGAGTACAAAAATTGTGATATAATGTCAATTTTTAGAGCAATTAATAATATTTTTATTTTATACATAAATTAAATATCACAATATGGGAACTCATAGGACTCCTTACTACACTGTCTTTGTATTTAATTCGAAAGATTCCATATGAACATTATTATAGCGGATTACGTACCAACTCTTGCTGAATATTGGCGCTTAATCAATCAATTGATTAATTAAAAAAAATTGAAAACTCCATTGGATCTAACAAGGCTCCGAGTCCAATCACTAATCTCGAAGGATTCCCATGCCTGGTATGTATGTATGTATGTATGTATGTATGTATGTATGTATGTATGTATGTATGTATGTATGTATGTATGTATGTATGTATGTATGTATGTATGTATGTATGTATGTATGTATGTATGTATGTATGTATGTATGTATGTATGTATGTATGTATGTATGTATGTATGTATGTATGTATGTATGTATGTATGTATGTATGTATGTATGTATGTATGTATGTATGTATGTATGTATGTATGTTATATAGGTAAACCCATTAACATACCAAAAGTCATATATACATATACATGTTTGTATACATGTAATTATGTAATATACATAGAGAGACCTATATTGCATTATGAATTGTTGTAAAGTGTAGTTTGTAGATTTTAGTGCTAAAACGTAGAACCTTGAGGGTTTAATATTGGTATCAGCATTAGATAGTATCATAATCATTAAACATAAATTTACTTATGTTACTACTATATATATATATTATTTTAAGCTAAAAATAAATTAAACACCCAAAAATAAAAAAGATTCATCATTATCTCATAAAACTTTAATTAGCTCATTCTCTAGTTAAAAATTACACTGCTATATTTTCATTATCATTTATAACATTATTTTTTTAGTGGTAACTTGCAATTTCTCGTGGATATGAGAAAGGATTGGAGTGTGGGGCATTCCAATTGTATCATTTTGAAGAAAAAAAATACCATAATATACAATTTAAAATGTTATAATACACTCTACATTGATATATTTTCTTATATTAACTACACTTGTAAAGCTATCAAATTAGTAATTAGTAACAAGACCCCAATTTTTTTATTTAATACGTCATACATATCTCTATTTCTTAAAAAAGTTATATTGAGAATATTTCTTATATATTTTTAAATCTTGAAAAACGTTTAAAAAATTTTCTTATAATAATGCTTGATAATGACGAGTAGAGTAATATTTTCAACCATATCTTAGCAAGTGCCCATATGAGTACCAAAAGACAAATGAATTTGTCCAATATATATATATATATATATATATATATATGTACAATAAAAAAAATTATATATGTAATTGTATAGTACACGTATCAGAGTATACAAATCCACAAGCATATGTATATATGTATATGTGTAATATAATATATATACTTGATGGGCATCCAAGGTGAGGTGGCATGGAGGTGGGGTGGTGCAGTTTTGTTGATCTCTAGGCACTGTTTTTTTATTTATGGGTTTTGCTTCACCCTTGGTCTTTCTCTTCATTACAAAAGAAGAACAAAAAAGGATCACAACTACAAGTGACTGTTCTTAAGTTTGAGTTTAAACCAAGCAAGAAACAGATTTCAAGAATCAGAGAGAGAGAGAGAGAGAGAGAGAGAGAGAGAGAGAGAGGGGCACAGAGATTGAGAAGAAACACAGCACCGAGCCCTAAATGGGACTAAACCCGAGAAGAAGATAACTTCTTTTCGGAATTTGAGGCAAATGTCTCTGCATCCCCAAATCTCTTCTTCTTCTTCTTCATTTCTCTTCCTCTTCTTCTTCCTCTGTTTCTTCCTCTGGCACAAAACAAATGCAGAGCAAAACCAGGAAGCTTCGATCCTCTACACATGGCTCCACTCTTCCTCCCGTGCACCTTCTTCATCACCACCTTCTCCTCTCTTCAACTGGAACTCCATCGACGCCACTCCTTGCAACAACTGGACCTTCATTACATGTTCTCCAGATGGTTTCGTCACCGACATCAACATTAACTCTGTTCCTCTTCAGCTCCCCTTGCCCGACAACCTCCCGGCTTTCCGTTCCCTCCGGAAACTCGTGATTTCCGGCGCAAATCTCACCGGAAAGTTGCCCGAGAATCTCGGAGACTGCCTCGGCTTGACGGTTCTTGACCTGAGTTCCAACAGTCTCGTTGGCGACATTCCGTGGACTTTAAGCAAGCTCCAGAATCTTGAGAGCTTGATCGTGAACTCGAACCAGCTCTCCGGAAGAATCCTCCCAGGGTTTGGGAACTGCATCAATCTCAAGAATCTGATTCTTTTCGACAATCTCTTGAACGGGAATATTCCCCCGGAGCTCGGGAAGTTGTCTGGTCTCGAAGTCATAAGAGCAGGAGGGAACAAAGACATCAGTGGTCGGATTCCTCCGGAGATCGGAGATTGCTGGAATCTGACCGTTCTGGGTTTGGCCGAGACGGGTGTTTCTGGTACGTTGCCTTCATCCTTAGGTAAGCTCAAGAAGCTTCAGACACTTTCCATTTACACTACACTGTTAAGTGGTGAGATCCCTCCAGAATTAGGGAACTGTACTGAGCTTGTGAATCTGTTCCTGTATGAGAACAGCTTGTCTGGTTCAATCCCGAGAGAGATCGGGAAACTCGGAAAGCTAGAACAGCTGTTTCTATGGCAGAATGGTCTTGTTGGTGATATACCTGAAGAGATAGGCAACTGTAATAATCTCAGGATGATTGATTTGTCTCTGAATTCGCTTTCCGGATCTATTCCTCTATCGATCGGGAGATTATCTTTGCTCGAAGAGTTTATGATCAGTGACAACAACATTTCTGGATCTATACCTGCAAACATTGCAAACTGCACAGATCTTCTGCAATTACAGCTTGATACGAATCAGATTTCGGGTCTGATACCTCCAGAACTCGGCTCCTTATCGAGGCTTAACGTCTTCTTCGCGTGGGCAAACCAGCTCGAAGGAAGCATTCCTCCGAATTTGGCAGAGTGTAGAAATCTCGAGGCGCTGGATTTGTCTCATAACTCGCTCACGGGAACGGTTCCTCCAGGATTGTTTATGCTTCAGAACCTCACCAAACTCCTCTTGATATCGAATGATCTTTCGGGTTTCATACCTCAAGAAATCGGAAACTGCAGCTCTCTTGTGAGATTGAGATTAGGTAACAACAGGATTTCAGGCGAGATCCCTCGGGGAATCGGCTCTCTCAAGAAGTTGAACTTTCTCGACTTGTCGAGCAACCGGCTTCACGGGTCGGTTCCATATGAGATTGGAGGCTGCTCAGAGCTGCAGATGCTTGATCTCAGCAATAACTCTCTCGAGGGCCCATTGCCGAATTCGATCTCTTCGCTTTCGGGTCTGCAAGTTCTCGACTTTTCGCTAAACAAACTCTCGGGCCAGATCCCCGCGAGCTTGGGACGGCTTGTCTCGATGAACAAGCTGATTTTGCGTGGAAACTCATTGTCAGGATCGATCCCATCTTCTCTTGGTCTATGTTCAGGTCTTCAGTTGCTTGATCTTAGCAGCAATGAGCTCATGGGAAGCATTCCTTCAGAGCTCGGACAGATCGAAGATCTCGAGATAGCGTTAAACCTAAGCTGCAACAAGCTCACAGGCAAAATCCCGTCTTCGATCTCTTCACTCAACAAGCTTTCGATTCTCGATATCTCCCACAACATGCTCGAAGGCAATCTCAGCCCACTCGCCAAGCTCGATAACCTCGTATCTCTGAACATTTCTCACAACGGGTTCTCAGGTTATCTTCCTGACAACAAGCTCTTCAGACAGTTACCTCCTCAAGATCTGGAAGAAAACACGAAGCTATGTTCTTCGAGCCAAGATTCTTGCTTTATACGCGACGGAAACAGGAACGGACTCGCTGATGGCTCATCCCGAACAAGAAAACTCAGGGTAGCACTCGCTCTGTTAATCACATTGACGATTGCAATGGTGATCATGGGCGCAATTGCCGTGATACGTGCGAGGAGAAGTATGCAGAAAGATGGAGATTCCGAGATCGGAGACACGTATTCATGGCAATTCACACCGTTTCAGAAGCTGAATTTCTCTGTAGACCAGATCATAAGATGCTTAATCGAACCAAACATGATCGGAAAAGGCTGTTCAGGGATTGTTTACCGAGCAGATATGGAAAACGGCAATGTAATCGCAGTGAAGAAGCTATGGCCTTCAACCGTTAACACTACTGATGAGAAAAACGCCATGAGAGATTCGTTTTCTGCAGAGGTGAAGACACTGGGAACGATCAGACACAAGAACATAGTACGGTTCCTGGGATGTTGTTGGAACCGAAACACGAAGCTGTTGATGTATGATTACATGCCGAACGGGAGTTTAGGAAGTTTGCTTCATGAAAGGAGAGGAGCTCCATTGGATTGGGAACTCAGATACAGAATCTTGCTGGGCGCAGCTCAAGGATTAGCTTATCTGCACCATGATTGCTTACCTCCCATCGTTCATCGAGACATCAAGGCCAACAACATTTTGATCGGTCTGGATTTCGAGCCCTATATCGCGGATTTCGGGTTAGCCAAGCTTGTAGAGGACGGGGAATTCGGACGTTGTTCCAATACGATCGCTGGTTCATACGGATACATCGCTCCAGGTATGTTCACTCCACTGTAAACTCTTAACATTAGATCTAAGATTCTGAATAGGCGTGGCTGTGATTCGGATACCCGAGTTTTTAGATGCGTCTAATGTCGGGTCCGTCCCCTCGGGTTTCTCAGTCGAACCACTTGACCTCAGTCTTGGTACCCGAACTTTGGGTACCGACTGACAAGGTGAGAATTGAATTGAGGCAGCCGGCGAGACGAGTGGTGAGGGGGTCGAGGCGAGAGGGTGACATGCGTACCTGGTCCAATGGCGCTCGGTGAGGCGAAACTAGACGCGGCGAAGAAAAAATTGCAAAATCTTGAAACCCTAAATCCTGAATGTTAGAAATCCGAGTGATTTTTCTAAAAGAGGAACACCGCCGTCTCGGTCCTCGGGTTAGGGCTAATTGCAAAACCCTAATCCCTCTCATCGCTTCCTCGCCTCCCACGCTCGTGACCCTCACCGTCTCCCTCTCACATCTCGAGCCGTCACTCCTTGCGGTCTCGCGACCTCACCCCTTCGCCGGCACGCCTTCTTTCTCCTCTTCGCCTTGGGTTATCCGCGGATACTGATAATCGATTGATCGTGCCTAGGGTTCCCGAATTTTGAGTATCCCGAGACGGATAGCCATTACCCACGGGTTCTGGGTACCCGTCTAACGCTAGTTCTGAATCTTGGCAATGGATAGATTCCTCGAGCTCATACACTTTTGTTCTTGAACAGAATACGGATACATGATGAAGATAACAGAGAAGAGCGACGTGTACAGCTACGGGGTCGTGGTTCTCGAGGTGTTAACGGGAAAACAACCGATAGATCCGACGATACCCGAAGGGATTCACTTGGTGGACTGGGTGAGGCAAAGGAGGGGAAGCTCAGAGGTCCTTGACCGGAGCCTCAGATTCCGACAAGAATCCCAAGTGGAAGAGATGATGCAGGTCCTTGGAACAGCTCTCTTATGTGTCAACGCGTGCCCTGACGAGAGACCCACCATGAAAGACGTCGCCGCCATGCTCAAGGAGATCAAGCAGGAGCGTGAAGAGTACGCGAAAGTTGACTTGTTGCTCAAGAAATCTCCTCCTGACCAGAGGGATGAAACGTCGTCGTCCTGTAAAGATCTCAAGAGAGAAGAAGCGACAGGGAAGAAGAGTAATAACACGAGCTTCTCCGCTTCTTCCCTGCTTTACTATTCTTCTTCTTCTTCTTCTACATGTGGTAATGCGGTGAATGGCTTATGATTTATTTTTTTTACGTATTTTTTTAAAATATTTTATTGTATTTTTAGATATTTATGTAAAGATTGAAGAACAGTGTGCGATCTCCAGTGTTGTGATTAGGACACAGAGACAATGACTTCCCTATTTGTCTGTTTTGAGTTCAATAATCTATGTAGTTCTTGAAAGTTTTAAATCTCAAATTTGCTATTTTTATTTGAATTATGATTTTTCCATCCAAATAAAAACATTACCACCATTTCCGAGAGACCGATATATATATTCTAATTTTTCTATTTCGAGAAAATAAAGAGATTCAAATATGAAAAGTTTTATTACTCAGTAAAAGATTCTCTCCATTTAAATACAACTATTTCATTTTTTTAGCTCAATGCACTATTCAACGTTTAATTTTTTTTTCAAAACATGCAATTGAATTGCCATTTTATTTTAATACATCCAAGCATTATAAAAATGATCAAATAAACCAAAATACAGTTTTTAAATTCGAGTTGTTTCCTCAATATGATCAACGAGGGATTCTAATATCGAATCTATTAATCAGACTAAGGAAATAAAAATACGACGCGTGGAGCACATGGTATGATGTGACATATAATCATCAAATTAAAAAGAGTACGCAACGTGGAGCTTAAAAATCTATTCGTTAGTCCTAATTGCAATAATATATGATTATTTGTATATAATATAGTCGGAAACTTTGGGGGTAATATTTTAATTTAATAATAGTTCGGGGCAAAACCGAACTTTCAAGTTTTCAAGCGTCCCCGCGACTCAGGCGCGTCCGTCCAGAGTGGCGTAGGTCCCATCTCCACTCTTGAAGCATCATCTCACCAATCAAAACACGCCATGTCACATATCCTGAAAACCCTGGAAATACAAAATTACCCCAATATGTACAGCAAAATTACACTTCAGTCCCAGTCTTTGTTTAAGGTCAAAACTCAAAATTAGAATCCGTTTTGCTTCCTCTGTTCCCTCGTGTTTTCTCTTGACACCGAAAATATTTGCAGAGAGAGAATGTGTGGGATATTTGCGTATTTGAATTTCAATGTGGAGAGGGAGAGACGATACATTCTTCAGATTCTCTTTGATGGGCTTCGTCGTCTCGAGTACAGAGGCTACGATTCAGCTGGGATCGCCATTGATGATTCGTTCTCTCGCCACCCGGACACATCCAATCACTTCTCCGCCACCTCTCCTCCTCCGTTCGTGTTTCGTCAGGCAGGCAACATCGAGTCCCTCGTCAAATTTGTCTACCAAGGTTTGTCTCCCTCGCTCCCTGTGTCTCCCTATCGTCCTTGGTTTCTGCGTTTGTTTGGATCTGATTTTGATCTGGAAGTGGTTTCTGTGTAATTCCCGCCGCATGAGAAATATTTCGGATTTCAGTTTCCTTTTCTGGTCGAATTCGGTACTTAAAGACCATGTCGGTTCATATGTTGGAATCGTAAATGAATTAATGCCGCAACTCGTCGGACAAGTTTGGCGCCCTCTGTCTTGGTTCGCTGTTTTTTTTCCCGTTCATGTTATGCTAAGATCATCTGGGTTCCAGTTATTCGATCTGAGTAATGCATCTCCGGTAGTTTTCTAGTGGAATTTGTGTGTGTGCGTGTGTGTTGTGTTTTATGGTTCTATAGGACTTTGAGACTAAGCATGGGAGAGAATTTGGCCATCTCCAGAAACTGTCAAGGATCTTAATGCGATTTTCCTTGAGCATATTGTTTTATGGTTAGGTGAAAATAGCCATATTTGATGAAGTAAAAACAAGCAAGAAGCTATTCTCGGCTTTGACCTTGTTTCCAGTTTGGGTGAAAGACTTGTTGTGTTCCAGACTTCTGCTCTATTATGATAATAAATTATGCAACTGATGGGTTGTCGCCTTGACCATTGTTTACAATTATTCATAACCTAAGAACATACTTGGGAAACTGATACTGTTTTTCTTTTGTCTCTCCTACCTTCAGGTATTGCAGATATAGATTTAAATTTGGAGGAAGTTTTCTCTTCCCATGCTGGGATTGCACACACCAGGTGGGCCACACATGGTGAACCAGCTCCAAGGAATAGTCATCCTCAGTCATCTGGTCCTGGGGATGACTTTTTGGTCGTTCACAATGGCGTGATCACCAATTATGAGGTCTGGCTCAATTCGTCTGCGTTTGAAAGCCTTTCTTTAAGCTTCTTATCTTCTCAAAATACTTTCTGCACAATCATTTCTTTTGGTTCTTTGCGTGCTTTTTCATGGTTACCTCTTCTGGCATTGGGTCTGACATTCTCTAATATGAGTGTAGAAATTGTGGGCTATTAATTTTGACCTCTTCTGTTTTTGTTTCTTTTAGGTGTTGAAGGAGACATTAGTTCGGTATGGATTCACATTTTCATCAGAAACAGACACCGAAGTTATTCCTAAGCTTGCCAAATTTGTTTTTGACAATGCAAATGTAGAAGGTAGTACTGCCGCAGATGAGCGTTGCCAACTAGTTTCTCGATTGCTCTCTCTGCCTAGTGGTCCACTAATGGGATTCTGCCGCAAATTTAAAACGCTTCTTTGACATATGATGAAGTTTTCTCTTCACTACGACATATTATGAGTGTAGAAATTGTGGGCTATTAATTTTGAGACAATACGTCAGATATGGTAGATCCATGTGTGATGAGTCAAGTAATTCTTGTCTTCCTTTTTGAGCGTGTAGTTTATCAGAAGCACCTCTATTTATTGGAGGTTTATGCCTTATGCTTTGCAGGCGAACAGACAGTCACATTCTGTCAAGTTGTTTTCGAAGTGATGAGGCATCTCGAGGGAGCTTATGCCCTTATATTTAAAAGCCGACATTATCCAAATGAATTAATTGCATGCAAGCACGGCAGCCCACTGCTTTTAGGCGTTAAAGTAAGTGACATTCTGCCACTAGATTCATGTTAAGACTTTTTCAATGTGCATGATGAAGTATTACATGATCATTAATCACTTAGTTTGCATCAATATATCTGTAGGTCGACAGTT